GCTTCAAACTTCAGCGTTGGCTGCGATTTTGAAGCTGAAATCGCGTTCGGTGTGAACGCAGCATTATATGTATTAGCTCGGTGCTACCGTGACAAACTAACAAGCTAAACTGAGGTCCTCCATCCATATTTTCAGTTGCAGGCTGAGTCATTTCTGCGTTCCCCTCTCTGTTATGTGGATGGAGGACCTCAGTGACGAGAGGAGAACGTGTAACGCTGAGCTAATACATGTATATAGTGATAGCATCGGGGCTAATGCTAAAGCTAACAGGCTATCACCATCGCACTGAGGACCTATTCACGTCATCATTTACCCAGAATTCTTTGCATGTAAATAAAATGGCCCCATCCGTGTAATAAATTTTTAAACTTTTAGTTTAAAACTGAACATCCTACAGTATTTTTACAGTCTTTATTTTACAGTTAAAATATATGTTTATTAAATAAAGTCTAATGTTGCAACTAATCAGGGATCCCTTTAAGAAATGCCAGGCATTTTATTGTTTCTGTCTTTTCAATTCAACAGTGATGAGCAGCAGAGAGATTATCTACTTGAACGGCGAGATTTGGCCATCGACTTCATCTTCTCTCTTGTGCTTATAGAGGTGTTGAAACAGGTAAGTTCCCTGAAGGAATGAACAAATGTAAGATTAACTTTTTTAAATTTAGCATAAGAAACTCAAGTGGAGTTTTTCTCTCATCCTTTTGTGTCTTCCAACTCTTAACTAGATGCCTCTCTACCCAGTCCACGATGGTTTGGTCAATGAAGTCATTAACTTAGCCTTTAAGCACTTTAAATATAAAGAGGGGTGAGTTTTAAATCTGTTCCAGCACTGTTTTTTTTTTCTTCTTTAGATTTTCAGAACCATAAACATGTTGGTCTTGTCTGTCCCACAGATATAATGGTCCAAACACTGGTAACATGCACACTGTAGCAGACCTTTATGCTGAAGTCATAGGAGTATTAGCCCAGTCCAAGTAAGCAATAAGTTTCTGTCTACTTTAAAACCTTTATTCTCAGCTCTGTTGAATTTTGGTGTCAAGCCACTTCATAGTGTGTTGCCATCTGTGACAGAGGACACTTTAGGACAAATCTTTAACACCAAACTAGGACTGGAAATGTCCGATTATTTGAACTTTTTAGATGACTGCAGCAGGAAATAGACCCTTAAAATAGAAATATGAGCTGCATACCTCCGTTCAAAGTATGCTCTGCTTAACCTCCTGCAAGGATTACTTTACCGAGTGGCATACACAGATTTAAATGTCTCTAAGTTAAAAAAAAGAAGATATACAGTATACAAAGGATTTTACTGTAACATGATAATAGTTTTCCTGGAAGTGTTTTCTGAGAGCCTGGTGCAGATTTCAGTCTTTTTGAGTAGTTTTCAGAAAGCGTCCTGCCTGGATAGTGTCACTGTTGCTTTCTTGCTGTGAAGGTATTTTCAAAACCTTGATATCGCTCTTAATCTCCAGGTTTCCCGCCGTGAAGAAGAAGTTTATGACCGAGCTGAAGGAGCTGCGGCAGAAAGAGCAGAGTCCGTACGTCACGCAGAGTACTATCAGCCTCATCATGGGGGTCAAGTTCTTCAGAGTTAAAATGTATCCTGTCGAGGATTTCGAAGCTTCTTTTCAGTTCATGCAGGTACAAAATGGAAATGACTGAACGTGCAGCTTTAAACGCCATTCTCTGCACTTTGTCCCTTCTCCCCCCGCGTATATATCTCATTGGTTCACTGCTTTCTTTTTAAGGTGCATTTAAAGTACTGTGGATAAGGCCCACTGTGTTCTGCTCATGTTTTCAGGAGTGTGCACAGTATTTTCTAGAAGTCAAGGATAAAGACATTAAGCATGCTCTGGCCGGCCTCTTTGTTGAGATCCTGGTTCCTGTTGCAGCCGTAGGTTTCTTCATCTTGTGTTACACAATCATTTAAACAGAGAAATTCGGCAGTTCAGATCACTGCCATTGTTTTTTCTCGTCATATACTGCTATGCACTTTGGTTAATGCATGTGGGTTTTTTTTTTAAAAACTGACTTTTGAATTGACCCAGGCGGTGAAGAACGAAGTGAACGTTCCCTGCCTGAGGAACTTTGTGGACAGCTTGTACGACACAACCCTGGACCTGTCCTCCAGAAAGAAGCACTCACTGGTTAGTTGGAGAGCAGAACACAGACACTGACTGTTGATCCTGGTTGTTTTTGTTTGCCTCTGTTTTTTTTTCTCCAAATGCCTCTGGTGCCTGATGGCCTAGATGCCTGCAGAAAGTCCCCAAGGTTGCTCTTGCACAATCATGTTTCACAACATTACTGTCCACAGTAGAGATAATTTATTAGGACAGTCGGAGCATAGAAGCAGAGCATGTTTCTGCTGGTAAATTTAAATTCTCAGTCCCCTTAAAACATACAGTAGTTGCTCACAAGAAACTGTAGCTTCTCTAGAAAGTCTGTCATATCCTGAAGCAGCAATTACAACCGTGTCTCAATTCATGTCTTTTTTGCGTGACCACGTGCTGCCTCGTTATCATGGTGACACGTTTTATATCGCAACGCTTCAGTTGTTTTTTTCAAGGTATAACTTCACAAAATTCACTTTTAATAGAAAAACTTACAAAAACTAAATAAAAACCATTAGTAATTTAGGTTTAGCTCCATTACCGTTACTTGTGACACCTTTTTATTTAACATCTTGTTGTAACAAAAGTTTCTTCAGCTAAGTTGCTTAACTTCAATCTTCGATCCGTTAAAAATTTCCAAACCCTGTCATAAAAAAAGGAGATAAAATTCCACCATAAAATTTAAAAAGAAATCTATGACATCTTTGTTTTTCTGTTTAATTTGCTTGATGACGCAATGAATTCTGGGATACCGTCGACTGCGAAAGATACACAGATGCAGCATCCATGTTTTCGGGGTTTTGTCGGCCGCATTCGTTGAAAAGAAAAGAAAAAAAGAAAAAAGAAAAGAAAAGAAAATGTCATTTTTTAAAAAAACAAAACAGGTGTTATAGTTTTTTTTTGTTTGCTTAAAGACTCATGTTTAAATATAAAAAGATTGTTGCAAAATTATTCAAACAACATTATTTCAATAAATAAATAAAATCCTTGCTTTTCTTTTCTCAGGCATTTTATCCACTGGTGACGTGTCTGCTGTGTGTCAGCCAGAAACAGTTCTTCCTCAACAGATGGCATCTCTTCCTCAACAACTGCCTTTCAAACCTGAAGGTAATTTATGAAAACAGCTGTTAAATCAGAATGCAGTGGTTTATTAGGGGTTAGTGTTGCTTCAAATTACTTTTTTTTCTTTTTCAGAATTAGAACCAATAGCAGTCTGTTTCGAGTAATATTTGTGAAGTCCTTCTGTCACCAGTGTTTTTGTTTTTACTAAATTTCCTTATTTTATTACAGAGTAGAGACCCCAAGATGGCTCGAGTTGCACTGGAGTCCTTATATCGACTGTTGTGGGTTTACATGATAAGAATAAAGTGTGAGAGCAACACTGCAACTCAGGGGTGAATAAATTAAATTATTTTATTTGCTTATTTCCTCACTGTCTTTCTAATTTGGTATTTTTTTGCAAAGAGAATCAGACCTGCTCAGTAATCTCAGGCTCAGTAGCCAACAGATATTCTGAGAAATCACATACATTTAATACACAGAAACTAATCAAAGACTAAACTTAAATAAAGAAAAGTGATTTTAAAAAATATACAAAAATTAGAATGAAATGTTTGTTCATGTTCTAACATACATTTTCCTTGTTTTCCCAGTCGCCTGAACACCATTATAACAACCCTTTTCCCAAAAGGATCTCGCAGTGTGGTCCCAAGAGACATGCCCCTCAACATATTTGTCAAAATCATTCAGTTTATTGCTCAGGTAAACACGTTAGGCTGCTCTGCTGTTTGATGAGCCATGCTGAAACATCTCACTTGGATTTATAAAATAAACTTTTTTTTGTTTCAACACAGGAAAGACTTGATTTTGCCATGAAAGAGATTATTTTTGACCTTCTGTCTGTTGGGAAACCTGCGAAAGCCTTTAGTCTTAATCCTGAGGTATGTTTTCACGTTTGATTTCTCCTGTGGTCTGTTTCTGTATTTCTTTCTGCTGACAATGTTGTTTTGAAACCCCTCACAGGAGCATTAACGCAACAATAAAAAATTTGTAGTTACCAGTTTTTTTCCCCCCTTCAGAGGATGAATATTGGTTTGAGAGCATTCCTGGTCATCGCAGACAAACTGCAGCAGAAGGACGGAGAGCCTCCCATGCCCAACACTGGCTGCACTTTGCCCTCTGGGAACACACTCCGAGTCAAGAAGACATACCTGAGCAAAACGCTGACGGATGAGGAGGCCAAAGTCATCGGTGAGGAAGACAGACAATAATAAAAGAATGGCAAAAATTCGATGTTTCTACGTGTTTTTTTTTTTTTGCATGAATTTAAAACATGAAAACTGAAAAATTATCCTTTCAGTTTCTTGTTTTTAAACGGGCAGAACTTGATGATGGCATTGTTTTTTCCAGGTATGTCACATTACTACGTGCACGTGAGGAAAGCTATTGACAGCATCCTCAGACACCTGGACAAGGAAGTGGGACGCTGCATGATGATGACTAACGCCCAGATGTTGAACAAAGAGCCTGAGGATATGATCACGTAAGGACACGTGTTCTACGTCGGCTTGCAACACTTTCAGTTTGGCAAAAGTTAAGAGTGTGCTGAATAAACCAAACTTTTTTTAACCTTACTTTTTTAGAGGTGAAAGAAAACCCAAGATTGATTTATTTAGGACTTGTGTTGCGGCCGTTCCTCGCATTCTGCCTGACGGGATGTCCAAACCTGAGCTCATCGACCTTCTTTCTCGGTGAGTTGCAGTGAAAGTAGGAAAAAATAGAAGAAACTGCATTCTGACTAAACACAGACAAATATTGTACGGTATTTGAGTAATTGCTGATTAAGCATTCACATTATCTTTTTTTTTCTTTTGCTATCCAACTGTTTCTGCATATTTTTTTTCTTATTTTAGCCACTCAAACATCAAAACAGTCAGCTCATTGAAGAAATGAGTGTTATGAGTTTAGTTTTTTTGTAACTCCTAAATTTTTCAAAATATTTCACCTTACTTAATGGCAGTTACATTTATCTTAAAGCTTGGTGGTCAGTGTTGGTAAGATTCCTTCCCAGGCTAATAAGATTAATGATCTAAGACAGGGCTTTTCAACTAAATTGCTCCGGGGGCCACATTTACTGCAGGCCAACAGCTCAGGGGCCAAACATCCAGCAATTAAAGTCGTTATGTGAATAAACCAAGTATTACAAAGATCTGTTACCTTTGAAATAGTTTATTGTGGTGTGTTTAATCATGAATACAACATACAGAACCCTATAAAAGTAGTGATAATTGAACAATATCAAAAACAAAATTAACACATTATGCCTCCTATTTGACACAAACATTATTGTGACATCTCTGACTTGCCAAAATTTTAAACCAATTTTATTTTTACTTTCATAATTTTATATTCAACTGCTTGTAATTTTAACTGTCTTGAGTGTGCATAGAAATGTTTTTACCAGCTTGTAGCCAAGATTCTGACGTTTCTGTAGATACCAAACAAGTCTATGTTTAGCTAAAAGAAGTCATCGTAATTAAGGTAGAAAACCGGGGGTTTGGGCTAAAGAGATGAATGAACCAATTGGCGGGCCGAACTTTGGTCACTCTTGGGCCGGATGTGGCCTGCGGGCCGCTAGTTGAATAGCCCTGATCTAAGACGTTCTGCACTTGCTTAGTATGTCAGTCTCAAAACAAGATCAGAAATACATTTTGGCTGGATACAGGATTGTAAGACTTGATTAACAGGACGTCTCTATTGAACGATTCATTTATTCAAGTCAGGAAACAATTGAACTGTTGATTTATTTGCTGCTCATGACTATTTTTCCCCAACCTAATGTTTGTCTTGATTGCATAAACAATCTTTTACTCAAATCTAATTGCGAAATAAATTGTATATCTTGAGTCTAACGGTGACGTTTTTATTTGTCCTGTTTGGCAGATTAACGATCCACATGGATGACGAGATTCGCCTCATAGCCCAGAATTCGTTGCAAAGCCTGTTGGTGGATTTCTCTGACTGGCGTGACGATGTCTTGTTTGGATTCAGTAACTTCCTGTTGCGGGAGGTCCAAGACACCCACCAAGGACTGTTAGATATGTCCCTCAAATTACTGCAGCAGCTGCTCACACAGTGGAGATTAGCACTGGCTTCTCCGGGGAAGAGCCAAGAGCACGCACAAATTCACAACATCGAGGTAGACTTCTTCACTGATTTATGACTTTTGCTGGAGAGAGCGGCACACTTTGATGTTTTGTTGCAAACATCAACACTTGATATGTTTAAAAATCTATTTTATCAGTACATTTAGCAAATGATCAATTTGTTTCTACGTTGCAGCTGCTGCAGTCCAGCTCGAGTCTGAAGTCGCCTGCAGAGCGAGGCCCTCACTCCGCCGCGCTGCACGCTGTAGAAGGACTGGCTCTGGTTCTGCTCTGCTCCTGCCAGCTGAGCACCCGCAGACTCGCTGTCGCTATTCTCAGAGAAATCCGAAGCCTCTATCTGACCATTGGACAGTCAGAGGTAAAACAAGGAAAAAGCCAAACAGGATAGCATAGCATGTAGTGGATATATTTGATATTAGAGTTGTATCTTTATGTTTTCTGGACTGCAGGATGACGATAAACCAATGATAGAGATCATGGATCAGCTCAGTCCGGTTATCGTGGAAAGTTTTGTCAATGTTGCCGTTTCTGACACAGTGAGTTGTTTATAAGTGTCTCTTTGTGCTGCAGGGTAAGCCTGCTATGTCTAACATAAGTGTTTTTTTGTATTTATTGGACTTTACTCTCAACACATTTATAAGACCTGCAGGATGTACATATGTTCCACCTCCGTTGCAACTTGTCACATATCAGCTTCGGTCGTGCTTCCCGACCTTTGACCCCGGCCGTGTCACTGACTCGTTGCAGACCATGCCGCCAGCTGTTCACCACGTGGACCTCCAGTGGCTCGTGGAGTGGAATGCGCTGCTCGTGAGCAGTCATTATGACATCAGGAGCCCCTCGCACGTGTGGCTCTTCGCCCAGTCCGTGAAGGACCCCTGGGTCCTGTGCGTTTACAGTCTCCTCCGAAGGGACCACCTGCCCAAGCACTGCCCCACAGCTCTGAGCTACGCCTGGCCCTACGCCTTCACTCGACTGCAGATGCTCATGCCCCTGGTGGACCCAAAGTGAGTTCAGTCATGGTAGTAGGTTCAGGAAAAAACTACGAAAGGCAGAGGATGATATGTATTCCTTTAATGAATACTAGGCTTTTAAACTGTGTTTTTATTATAATTATATAGTTCCCCATTATTTAAAAAAGCATTTTTTAGATCCCCCCATTAAAATAAACTCAATATATTTTATTTTTGCTTTGTTCACCAGCAACCCAGTGTATGCCAAGAAGACCGGCACCTCTGGGAGTGGGGAGAATTACGTAACCTTATGGAGGAACTACCTGATCCTTTGCTTTGGGGTGGCCAAACCCAGTATCATGAGTCCCGGCCATTTGAGAGCATCGACACCTGAGATCACGACTCCTCCGTCTGACAGTGGCCTCGGCCACGATAACAAGGTAACAGCCTCCCCATTCTTTTCCCTTATCAATTCCCCCAGCGCTTTGTCTCCCCGGGATCAGGTGTTCTCGCCGAGCTTGTTGACATTCATGCTTAAAGCATCAAATTACAAAGCTGCTTCTTCACATAAATGACACAAGAAACCGATGTATTCGCAATTTTATGGATACCATTATTAAAGCAACTCTTAGTAATTAGTGTTCGAGCAGAATGAGATGTTTTATTTGTGTGACCTAACAATGTGTGTTTAATTTTTCAGGTTACTGGAAGCCCGTCAGTGGCTTGGCTCTTGAAGCAGTTGGTCCCACTCATGAGGCTGGAGAGCATTGAGTTGACCGAGTCCTTGGTTGTAGGATTTGGTCGCACTAATTCACTAGTATTCAGGTATAATCAAATTCATTCCTTTTCTAAGCTTTTTCTGACAACTTCTTTTTTTATATTTGGACTCAGATATTGTTTAAGAAGTGAGGATTTTTTTAAAATAGAAATTTTAATAAAATATCAAATTACAAGTAAAATTACAGTAGTTTAGTGACACTAGCTGAGCTGCAATTTTATTTTTTATCTATTTTGATTAAATAACATATGAACTAGAATTTAAATTCCTTGTTTTCTCCATAATTAAGGACTCCATTAACCTACATTTTCACATGGGAAATAAACAGGGGATTATACTGTACCTGAGTGGTGCCTAATCACCTTTCATATTCGCACACAAATGATTGCTAGAGTTAATAATTCACAGGTCAAATGGTTTTCTTTGAATAATAAAAAGAAAAAATATTGCAGTGCAGTGTAATTTGATATTATCACGGTCTTCACACAGGGAGCTTGTGGAGGAGTTGCATCCCCTCATGAAAGAGGCATTAGAGAGACGACCTGAGGTTTGTTTGTGATATTTGAAGCTCGGTACATAAAAGCAAAGTATAGATCCTTTGGCTGAACTTGCTACTGGACTCGACGGGAAAGCTGTTATGTTTCACCGCCTTTTGTTCTTAACCTTTCGCAGAACAAGAAGCGCCGCGAGCGCCGAGACCTGCTCAGGCTGCAGCTGCTGCGTATCTTTGAGCTTTTGGCTGATGCAGGGGTCATCAGTGACAGGCAAGCAAGCGACAAAAAACAAACTGAAACTCGTTCCCCAAACATGAGCCGTCGCAGCTCTGTGGAGCTGCTTTTCCAGCTGCGCCATGAACTGTTTGTGATTTCACATCGCTGAATGCTCCATGTTCATTTTGTCACCCTGCAGTACAAACGGAGCTCTGGAACGTGACACCCTCGCCCTCGGCGCTCTGTTCTTAGAATATGTGGATCTGACTCGAATGCTTCTGGAAGCTGAGAACGATAAAGATACAGAGATCATCAAAGACATCCGGGCTCACTTCAGCACCATGGTGGCCAACTTTATCCAATGTGTACCAGGTAATTTCCACCATTAAACTCACTTAGAACGCTCTTGGAGAGAAAGCACACACACAGCACTGGACTCATGGCACTGAGCTTGATCTAAACATCGCCTGTTCAGAGTAGATCCAAAAATAGTCCAGTGTAAGGACAGAACAAGCGAGTGCAGATGATGACTCATGCTTCCAGGCATTTAGAGGTCGTATTATCATCATACAAGTTCCTGTTTCACAACTTCTGAATTTTCACACTAATAACGGGATTTGTTTTTGTTGTTGTCGTTTGCTTTATTTTGTAGTGCACCACAGACGCTTCCTGTTCCCCCAACAGAGCCTTCGGCATCACCTCTTCATTCTCTTCAGTCAGTGGGCGGGGCCTTTCAGTGTCATGTTCACCTCTCTGGACCGCTACAGTGACAGAAATCACCAGATCACAAGATATCAGTATTGTGCACTGAAGGTATAGATGCAGCACGTTCTGAGTCTGGTGTTCAAGGTCAATGAGGGCAATTTTTTTCCTTGTTTGTAAAAAAAATCACTTATGGACACCTTAGTATTAAATGTAGTTAAATGTTTGTAAAAATAATGAGAAAAAAGAAATGAAAGGCCTAGCATTCATTGTGGGAAAGCAAAATTGCCTGATGCTAGAGCTTTGAAATATAAGATCATCTGATCTTCATTGACAAGAAATAACAGAGTTGTAGCTATTTTGGTCAAATCTTAAAAAGAATGATCCAACAACCTTTTGCTCTGTTGCAAGATGTCATACGTATTTTTTATTCATTTATTCATTTCATTAAAATATAAACAAAACATTTCATACAATAAAACAATACAAATCAAGTAAAATGAAAGGCAGCAGAAGAAATTTTTTTTATAAAAAATCAATATTTCAAATAATAAACCAAATAATAAAACAAAACAAAACAATTCAACTCCTCAAACAGTAACTTATACAAATCAAACAATTTCACATTTCTTTAAAAAAATTTTCTTTGATCGTTTTTAGGACTTACAGAATGTGTTGCGAATGGCTCTTAGGTATGACCACATCAAATTTTAGCTCAGTGTCTGGCTAATAATAATAGGCTGAGGTGACCAACTTAAATTGGACTGAATAAAAAAGTTAATCAGGTGTAGATCTACATCAAATGATTACATTTTGCAAGTTTCATTAAAACCCGTTCAGTGGTTCATGAGATATTTTGATAACAGACACAAACACAGGCAAAAAAAACATCATTGCTCCACTTTTACCTTCTGCTGCAGGCAATAAAAAATGTATATACCATATAAATGGGTTTGTGAACAGTCAATAAATTTGTCATGATGACTACAGTCCTGCAGCTGTGAACAAAGCTGAGTGTTTGTTTTCCAGGCCATGTCTGCCGTGTTGTGCTGTGGGCCTGTCTTTGATAACGTCGGCCTGTCTCAGGATGGATACCTGTACAAATGGCTGGATAATATTTTAGCTTGCCAGGATCAGCGGGTCTGTATCCAATCGTTTACCACTGTGGTGTATTTAAACAAAGCGCTGACCCATGATAGCCTGTTTTTTAAAAAGTCAGCTGTACTTCTTGCCAACTTTTCTTTATTATTGCGTCGGAAGTGCTGGCAAGTAGTGAAGGGCACTTTTTGTTTTAAATAAACTTGTCTAATGTCTCTACTGTGAGACAAGATAAAAAAAAAACCTGTTTATATTCTGCACTTTTCTGCAAAGAAAATCCTGTGTGACTTGATCAGAGCCCTTAATTGGACATGTTGCCAGTAACTATAATTAGTCTTTTAATTTCTTTGGTGCAACAGATTCTGTAGTAAACATGCACTTTTTAAAATCAAACCCAATGCATTTTAGCTTCAATAAAGAGATAGATGTTAACAGGGTCTGTGTTTTTTTTTTCCCTTGCCTCAGGTTCATCAGCTTGGCTGTGAGGTCGTCATTCTGCTCCTGGAGCTTAATGCTGACCAGGTTAATCTAATTAACTGGGCAGTCGATCGCTGCTACACAGGTTCCTACCAGCTCGCCTCAGGCTGCTTCAAAGCCATCGCTACAGTCTTTGGCAGCAGGTACGTTCTGTCGCCTTTGGATCATCCGGGTTTGCTTCTCCACATGAGGAAACCACAGGCAACTTAGCCAAAGTCTCTCTTTTATTGTCTTTCCCAGCAAAAACTACCCATGTGACGTTGTAACGCTGCTGAACCTGGTTCTCTTTAAAGCATCAAGCACAAGCAGAGAAATCTATGAGATTTCAATGCAGCTAATGCAGGCAAGAAGCAAAACAATTTTTATTGACTGGTTTTATAGGAATACGGACATCTATCGGTTATAATCTAATGGTTGTTATGGAATAATGTTTTACTTCCTGTTTCAACGGACTTTAAAAGTCAAACTTGATTGTTGCTCAAACTGTAACACATATATATGCTGGTTCAGAATTGTTGCTTGGAAATTCTGCAAGTCTACATGTGAGTCCATCTGACACGCTCCTCTTCTTTAAAACAGATTCTTGAAGCACAGTTGTTCCTGTACTCTAAGAAGATAGCAGAGGTAAAGCCAAGTAGTGTCCTGTATGGCACCCATGGTCCTCTGCCGCCTCTTTACAGTGTCTCGCTACCTCAGCTCTCCAGTCAGTTGGCCAGGATGTACCCTGAACTCACTCTTCCTCTGTTCTCAGGTAGCTAAAAATGCTAACTGGAGGTTTTCCACGTGTTTTATTATTATAGTTCCAATGCAATGTGAGAATTGTCACGTTTTTCTTTGTTCCAGAGGTCAGCCAGAGGTTCCCCACCACTCATTCCAACGGGAGGCAGATCATGCTCACCTACCTCCTGCCCTGGCTCAGAAACATTGAGCTAGTGGATGGCGGTTTGCTGCTTCCAGTCCTTACTTCATCCACCCAAAGCTATGAGTCCTCCTGTCAGCTGAGCAGCACAGACTCATCCCACCAGCTGAAAGGTGCTGGCTGGGGGTCCTTACAAGCCACATCAATGGTTCTCAATAACCTCATGTTCATGACAGCCAAGGTATGTTTGCTGGTTAAAAGGTTAAAAGGACAAAGTCTTGGCGATCTTTGAATAATTAATGTATGTTGTCATTAACCACCCTGCGTAGTACGGAGATGATCTGCCTGGATCAGAGATGGAAAACGCCTGGAATGCTCTGGTCGGCAATGAAAATTGGAGCAACAACTTGAGAACCATGCTGCAGTTTCTCATCAGTTTATGTGGCGTCAGCAGTGACACGACGCTTCTCCCATATGTAAGAGCATAAAGCCTGCTTCAGAATGTATATATATTGTTTTCTCCTTTACAGATTCTTACCATCGTTTTTTTTTCCAGATCAAGAAAGTGGTGATCTATCTTTGCAGAAATAACACAATGCAAACCATGGAGGAGTTGTTATTTGAGTTACAACAAATGGACCCAGTCAACCCTGTGGTGCAACATTGTGACAGCCCTCCTTTCTATCGCTTCACTGCCACAAGCAAAGCCTCTGCAGCGGCTTCAGGTATTTTTTTTCCCATCTTTTTTCAGAGCATTGTAATCTTTTTTGAATTTTATTTAATTCTTGCATGACACATTCACTTTCAAACCACTTCTGACTGCTGTAACTAACCTAACTTCTGTGGTTGGACTAGTAAATAGGTTTGGTTTTGGTTCATTTTTAGGAACTCCATCAAGCAGCAACACTGTCGTTGCAGGCCAGGAAAGCTTTCCTGACTCCGATGATACAAAAACCAATAAAGAGAACGAGGAAAGGTAACGTACGCCATCATGTTTCAAATCTTGTATTTTATGTACAGATTTGAAAATACTCACATCATATGTGTGTTTCTGATCTCAGGCTTGGGCACATGAGAGCACACAACCGTCTGGAGTCACGATACAGTAGCAGCTCAGGAGGATCCTATGATGAAGATAAAAGTGAGTATTTATCGGAAATACTCTTTCTAATGAGAAGCTGTCATAGTTTGGTGAGCGCGAGATGCTTGTCTTGGAGCGTGACACGAAAAGCAGGATGGTGTCTTTGATAATAACTTTTAAAGTGTCTGTGGCATCAAATTTTTGTAATAAATATGAATGTATTTTTGAAAAGACCACATTGATAACATATTGTAAAAAAGATTTCATGTCACTGAGATGAACAGTTGTTGAGCTATTTGCGTGTGAAGTAACAGGAAGTGATGTCAAAGGGTGACTGTGAACATGTTGCTAAAGTGATTAACAACACAGACTGTAGAGAAGAATCTGAGGTTTCTTTAGATTATTTTAATCACTATCATAGAGAGATGAGAAAAAGTCAGCGTATATTGTAGAAATAAGAAAAACAGGGAGTTTTCTTTCTCAAAGAGTTCCCTTTTGATGTCCCTTCCTGTTTCACCTTAGCTAAGCCGAATTCAAAAGAAAATATGCTAATTATGTGACATAACAGATGAAATTGTGTATTATGCCAAGTTTCTTAAATATAAATATATTTTCTTTGACTTCTGGTGTTTCATGGATATGCATGTCACAGGCACTTTAAAGGCTTCTTTGAAAAATGGCTTTGAAACTAAAATAGTAAAGTTCAGAACTGTGATGACTCAGGTGAGCCTCTGCCCCCCTACGCTGATTGGTTGACGGTTGTTATTGAGACCAACAAGCCCCACCCTCTGCCCATGCCTCTCAGTGGAGGATGCTGGGCTCCGCTGGTGGACTTTTTACCAGAAACCATCACTCCCAGAGGACCGCTGCACAGGTCAGACTGTAAAACCTGTCTAATCTGTCGCATGTGGATGCTTTTTTTTTTAATCAACGAATGTGTTTTATTAAACACACGAAACATTTTAATTGTTTTCTACAGGTGTAACATTGCAGTGATCTTCATGACTGAGATGGTGGTTGACCACAGTGTGAGAGAGGACTGGACCCTTCACCTGCCTTCACTGCTCCATGCTCTGTTTTTGGGTAAAGTCACAATCCTCTTTTAATTATATTATGTAGTTATCAAAAAACAAGTTTTAAGCTCTGTCATTTACTTTACAGGTATGGACCACTATCGCCCGGAGGTGTTTGAACACAGCCAACGTCTCCTCCTCCACCTGCTCATCACGTTGCTCTGTAACAACAACTTTCAGGCTATCGCAGCGATTTTACTGCAGACACAGGAAATCCATGTGGCTAAGACTCTCACCTGCAAGCCAAACCCGGAGAATTCACCTACTGGTAAAAAAAAAAAAAAAAAAAAAAATACTGTGAAATAATTTATTGGGGTGGCAGAGTGGTTGGGGAGTCATCCGTCCATCTTATTGCTGGGTTGTTGATGACATCATGAAATGCAGACGGGGGGCAGGAAGTAAAGGCAGTCCCATTTCCTCAGATTCAGCATCAAAATGCCTAAATTCTGTGCTGTGTATGGTTGTTGCAACTGCTCTAATTGGGAGAAAGATAAAAGTTTTTGTGTCCAGCAGGCAGTGAAGGTTGGCATTTACGGCACACAGTTTTTCTTCTTGGCTCATATGAACTCGAACATCAGTATGGGATAGTTACAATTCCTTTAAGACAATAGATAAGTTCCTTATCAGGGTAAAAGATATTTGGACTCTGTGCCAAAAGCAGTATCGAGTGCAGTGGACATCAAAGGTCTTGAATAAAGCATTCCATTCTGCTATTTTTGTCCTCTTGCCTAAATTGGGGCCATCTGCTCAGGCTTCAATAATCTGGTTTACCCGACCGAAGAAACTCCCCACCCTCCCTCTTCTGATAAACTGTTTTGAAAATGTCTAGACACAGTGTTAAAGTTGTACTTGCTTTCTGGGTTATAACAAACGCATTGCTAATTAACAAGAATGCAATAAATTGTGCTGTGACTTAGTTATGGTCAAAGCAGCAGTGGGAGTCAACAGCATCATCTTATTAAGTAATTATAGTTATTAGATGGAACTTATTGAATTTATTTTAATGTTGTTCAACTCACATCTTCCATCTCCAGCAGCAAACTACTGGGAAATAAAAGAAGCGTGAAATAATTGAACGCAACCAGTTAGTGATCACTGGCTCGGTTCTCTGTTGTGCTCAGGGAGTTTTGACTTCCTGCGCGAGTGTCAGGCGTCTCCTGTTCCAGACTCTGGTCTCAGCTCGTCGTCGACGTCCTCCAGTCTGAGTCTGGGGGGCAGCAGCAACAACCTGCCTGAGATCACACGGGAGATGGAGGAGTTTGTGGGCTCTTCAAAGATAAATGAAAAGGCCAACAAGCTCATTGAGTTTTTAATTACAAGGTAACAACGCAGATGCTTTTTTTCTTTCCTTTTTGATTTCTTTTTTGGTAATTTAATGTGTTTTATACAGCTTGGACAGTTTTGCCATTCACAGTCAGAAAAACGAGTTTAGATCAATTCTTTTCTGTTTTCTTGATGCAGGTTTCCCCCTGGTGGTGCTGCATATGTAGTGCAATTTATTCTTGCATTAGATTAGCAATTTTATCTTTAAATCAGAATGCCACAGGCATTTCTTCGATTAACTGTACACATTTAAAATTTCATTTTCCTGGGATTTTAAATAAAATGCACGTGAATTGCCTTTTTTTTTAGTTCAGTAGGACCCAGCAACCCTCAAAGCACATCATAATCTCATTAAATAATACAAATCCTCAGAGTTCACACAATCACACACCAAAGCAATAACTGGAATTTTTATTCAAACCCTGCATAAGCATCAGTTAGATTGTTTTATTGTTGCCATATGTTGGCTCCATAAACTCTGAGCTGCACCGATCCTTTGTTTTTTGTTAAGGTTTTAGTTTTTTTCTGATTATTATGGTTTGGGGCAGCTTTATTCACACAAATATGAGCTCTAAGAACACCCAAATCTATGTCTGTATGTGTCATATTTGGTTTGCATACCAAACCAAACAGATAAAGAGAAAGACAACATGCAAATTTTTGTTTAGTGCATTTTTAGAATAATCATCTTCGAAAAAGTGCCGCTATCACTAAAGTGTTTATAACCTAAATGTATTTTTTAGACCCTATGGACCACTGTGGTGTCATGAAGACATTTCACCAAAAAACCAAGTCTCAAAAAGCACCGAGCAGCTGACAAATTTTCTGCGACATGTGGTTTCTGTCTTTAAAGAGTCCAAGTCAGGTACTGTAGCTCCTTAGAATTGGTTTAATTAAATGGAACTCCCTCTTTAGACGTGACTCCTTCCCATGTCTGACCTGGTTAGATTTCCATCTGGAGCAGCAGCTCAGTGAGGTGGCTCTGCAGACGGCCTTGTGCAGTTCGTCCCGCCACTACGCCGGCCGCTCCTTCCAGCTCTTCCGAGCCCTTCGTCAGCCGGTTTCTGCACACGCCGTGTCTGACCTCCTCTCAAGACTGGTGGAAGTCATCGGCGAGCACGGAGAAGAAGTGCAGGTCAGTCTGAACATAAACCTGCATTTAACAAGGTATTATGTGATCTTAGGAACGCACAAAGATTTGTCCGAATTGCTGTTAAAACTGATTCTATAACAGCTGATTCTGTAAAAGTTGTGCTGTTTCTACTTGTAGGTAACATGGGACAATAAAATATATAAATTTAACTGTTTTTAGCTCCTTTGACAAACTATATTTAGTTTGTAAATGTGAGGTGCAGTATATAATGTTGTACCTTATTTAAGTAAAAAAATAATTAAATTTAAAACAAGTAGTACTTGTGAGTATGAGAGCTTCTCATTGGGTTCTTTCACCTGTTAAAGACTCTGACACCAAATAAAACCCAAGAGATCGACATCTTGTCCAAGAACGTGAGTGTGCACGTCTTTGTGTGTTTGCATGATGTGTTTTCTATCAGAAAACCTTATTTTTTTTAAATCTGATGTGTTTTTAACAACTTTTTTTTTTCAAAAAAGTGAATAAATGTTCATAAATAACAGATGAATGTTCAGAATCAGATCACTGGCAAACATTTTCTGTTGTTTGCAACAGAAAATGAAATATACTGGTGATATTACATCTGTTTGCAGAAAGTATGCTATTAAATATTAAGTAAATGCACTTGTGTATGCATAATACATGTTTGGGTTTGTGCATGTATATTTGGGGTGTTACGAGAGTTTCTTACTCTAAGGTCTCAACAGAAATTATCTCCTGGCATCTTTTTCTAACCCAAGATGTGAGGATAATTTGGTTTAAGAATTTTCTGAAAACCTAAAAACATATTTATTCCTTGCTGCAGTGAAACTAGAAATGTTTATTTATTTATTTTTTTAAGATTTCATAATTGCCTCAGGACCATGTCTAATGAAATTTTAAAAAGACAATCTGTCAAATATATATTTATTGTTTAAAAAATTACTGCTTTCATAAGACAGGTTACCTAAAAAGAAAAAGAATAGAAAAAATGTTAAATTAAGATTAGGGATTTGATGGGCAGAATTATCCAGGCATCAAAAATTGTTGCAAATCTAATAAGCCAAAAATAATAAGCTTGAAGATACAAAACACTCCTCCAAAAGCATCAAATATTTTCTACAACAAATGAACTCCAATAAGTGAAATAGAAATTATTTCATTACATTTTTTACATCAAATAAATGCATCATGTGGTTTGTCTTTTTTTCAGGGCTATGTGATGGAAGTGTTACTCACACTGGAATCTGTGGTGGATAACCTGGCTGAATGTCTGAAAAACAACGATCTTATGGTTTTCCTAACAAGGTTTGTGACTCTAACAGAACTATTTATCTTCTTAAAAGGTATTCACTTGAAACATACGTTTTGATGCCTTTTGATGACGTTGCAGAGCCACATCTCCAGACTTCCTTACCCATTTCAAGCAGCTGTCGAACAGGAAGAGCACAGGACAGCTTGGTCTAGAACGAGAAGAGAGGAGCAGGCACCACAGGAGCTCCTCTGTCCCCAAAAAGTTTGGAGAAACCGACAGGTGTTCAGATCCACCTCGCAGCGCCACGCTGGACCGTATCCAAGCCTGCGAGCAGCAGGCTCTGTTAACCAAGATGAGCAGTTCGTCTTTATCAAAAGACAATGCCACCGACGCGATGAGCATCAACCACCCCAGCAACCTGCTGGCCACCATCTTCTGGGTGGCCGTGTCGCTCATGGAGTCCGACTTTGAGTTTGAGTATCAGATGTCTCTGAGGCTGATGAATAAGCTGATGGCTAACATGTCGCTGGACAAACAGGATAACAGGGAAAGGCTGGAGAAGCTGCAGAGCCAGCTGAAGTGGAGCAGCTTCACCGGGCTTCAGCAGCTGCTGTTGAAGGGCTTTACCTCCATGGCCACCACTGACCTCACGCTGCAGCTCTTCTGCCAGCTCACTCCTGTGTCCAGAGTTTCTGTGGTGGACACATCCCAAACTATAGGTACAGTCTGTTATTACTGCTCAAGTAATGTTTTGACTTGTGTTTTGTGTGTATATGTGCTTGTATGTATCATTTGAATAAGTCTTTCATTAAATAATCACTGGATAAACATTCACCAGTCAATAGCTTTAGGAGTCAGTCCCATTCAACATGGCCGCCATAAGAAAGTGACCTTACAAAACACTAAAATGGCTAAAACTCAGCCAAATTCTACAGACATAAAACTCAAATTTGGTGTGGTAGTGGCTGATTATCATCACCACCACATATTTTGAGCTCTACATATTTTTGCAACATTTTGGACAGCTGTGGCATATGGGGTGCCATTTGTAAAGATACACAGTCAAAAATTACCAGCAATATTTTGTTTTATTTAGCCTTTCATAAGGAAAAAAAATAGGGGGTTATTTTTCATAGTCGGTTTTTCGCCATTTTATTCATACATTTATAAATGTCATAGTTTACAAACTAAATATTTTACTTACAAATTAAAGATTTGGTTAACAAACTAAACATATAGCTCAAAACTAAATATTTAACTTACAAATTAAAGATTTAGTTAACAAACTAAATATTTAGCTCGAAACTAAATTTTTAACTTGCAACTTAAATATTTAGCCTGCTCACTAAATATTTAAGTTGCAAGTTAAATATTTAGCTTGTTAACTAAATAATTTGTAAGTTCAATATTTAGTTTATAAGCTATGACATTTATAAATGTATGAATCATGTGGTGAAAAACTGACTTTGAAAAATAAATCTGTTCTTTTTTTTCTTATAAAAGGCTAAATAAAACAAAAATATTAGGGGTAATTTTTGACTGTGTAACTTTACAAACGGCACCCCATAGTGGCGGAGTGGTTAGGGGAGTTGTCCTGTAACCGGAGGGTTGCCGGTTCGTTACCCATTCCAGCCGTCTCAGTCGTTGTGTCCTTGGCCAAGACGCTTCACCCACCTTGCCTACTAATGGTAGTCAGAGGGTCCAGTGGCAATGATGCATGTTAGCCCCGCCTCTGTCAGTGTGCCCCAGGGCAGCTGTGGCTACCATGTAGCTTACCACCATCAGTGTGTGAATGACTGTAGTTTAAAGCACTTTGGGGTCCCCATGGGGCTTGATAAAGCGCTGTATACTGTAAGTTCAGTCCATTTACCATTTTGTGTAATAATGATAAAACTACTGGCCTCGACCCTGTCTGTTTGTTGGCAAAATATGCTATTAACCTTTTAAGCCCGGTACAGGGCCGACAAGAGAACTGAAGGAAATCTTATAAAATCTTGTGGGCTTAAAGGGTTTTGAACTCTGGCCAGATCTTAAGCTCTCAGAAAGTTGGGTGTACATCTACAATAACCATTGAAGTTAAAAGAATTTACATAATATGGCCAACACAGCTAACTGACATTAGAACTTTAAAGACAACATTTTATTATTTTGTAGGTTTTCCCTTAAATGTTCTTTGCCTGCTCCCACACCTGGTGCAGAACTTTGATGCACCGACCACGTTTTGCCAAGACGCTGCTGAGAAGATAGCCCAGGTTTGTCTTTGTTAGTGTTTCCCCTCTCAGATGTTTTTTTTTTCTTGTTGTTGCGCTGTATTTTCACCGTCACTGCTCTGCTTTGAACAGGTGTGCCTCGAGGAAAAGAATTCCAAGCTGTCCAACCTGGCTCATGTCATGACTCTGTATAAAACTCACTCCTATACGCGAGACTGCTTCTCTTGGGTGAACGTGGTGTGTCGCTATCTCCATGAAGCGTTCTCAGACATCACCCTGAGTCTGGTCACTTACATGGCAGAGGTTCGTGCCATTGATCCTTTTATTATTATTATTTGCTTTACAGTCATCAGATGCTGTACATAAATTGAGTTTTGTTTTATTTGCAGCTACTGGATAAAGGTCTCCCCAGTATGCAGCAGACGCTTCTACAAATCATCTATAGCCTCCTGAGTCACATGGAGCTGAGCGGAATTCAAGCCAAACCTTTCAACATAGAGGTCCTCAAGACAATAGAAAAGTTTGTCCAGGTGAGTTAAAACTTTAACAACAGAAATATAAGTTTAGGTGATGGTTCTATAATAAATCTGTCAGCACTGTACATTTGTAAGCACACCCATGTTATAAACAGGCTGCCTAAATTCAGGCCTTTAATATCCACATTGTCTCTGGTTTGAAAACAGCAACACACAAAAATAAAACTTTGTGGCTTTAAATAAATATTTGGCCTGGGTTTATTCTGACCACATGTGCATGTAAATTTAACAGATGCTGACAAATGTGTTTGTACCCATTCAGTAAAGAAGAAATAATAATAATAATAATCTTAAAACAACTTAAATTAGAGCATTTTACTCAGAAGGAGTGAGCCAAAATATTTGTCAAAAGGTTCATAAATCTAATAGTTACAGAAATTGCTTGATTGCTGTGTGGGTGCAATATTAAGTCAAGGGTACCATTAGTTTGTTTTTAAGTAACTATAATTAACCACAATTTAAAATCAATATCTGATATTTATGAGTTTTTTTTCTCTCGTTACTTTTGTCGGTTTCAAGTTGCTTCAGTGACATCGGTGGGTTTTTGCTTCCTGTTTTGAAAGTGCACAAACAAATGTGTGTTTGTGTTTACAGACTGTGCATTGGAGGGAGGCGCTGAATATCCTGAAGCTGGTGGTTTCTCGATCAGCCAGTTTGGTGCAGCCGTCGTCCCAGAGTGACCCTCCCTCTGAGGACATCAGACGCATCTGGGACTGCTCCTCCAAGGCCCTGCCTGGAAAAACACTTGATTTCCACTTTGACATATCTGAGGTGGAAGCTCTTGTAGATTTTTTTTTTTCACAGTGTTTTAAAAGTCTCTCTGTCATGTTGTCAGGATAAAGTTTCTATGTTTGACCTTGAACTTTTATTTGAATATTTTCCAGGGTTCGGTGTCTGCTGAGGTTGTCTTTTTTTGAAATGGAAACAGTTCTTTTTTTTTCCTTGTTGTATTTATTACTGGCTAGTTCTGTTGAGATTAGCTTTCAGGCTCAAAAGGTAAACACAGCTAGCCAAAGGCTGTGCTGGAAAGTGATGAAAAACATAAGCAGAGGGGCGTTGTGTGTGGGAACAGAACAGGGAGTTATTTGTGAAGTTCTTGAATGGCAGGAAATGAGGTCAAGTCTTCGCTCCTTTTTGCTGTATGTGAACCAGTGACATGTAGTAGTTTGCAGGCAGTACGTGTTTGCTATTCCCATTTAAGACAAAAGATTTGAATACTCATATATCTTTGGATTTAAGACATAAAAACTGTGTTGGAGAGAGTTAAAACTATGACAGACGATCAAGAAAAACAATTGCAACTTTTCCTAAAGGTCTGATCATGTTACATTCATCCTGGATTCCAGATGAAGCAGGAAGCTTCATGGACAAAAGAGATAAGGACTTTCTTCTCTTCATGCTTTTTCAGATTCCTTATAGTTTTTGGTCTGTTTGCTTTTAGACCCCGGTGATCGGGCGGCGTTTCGATAATCTGCAATGCTCGCCCGGACATGATGCAAAAAGCGTCACAACTGCAGTGACCCACAGCACCTCCTCGACATCCTCTGGATTGACCTCCAACAACGTCCTGGTGCCAGTCAGCTGGAAGAGGCCTCAGTCTTCACAGGTTAGAAAGCTGTCCAATTGCTTACTGACTGTAATATGGTGATGTAATTAGGTTTTAATGATGCTTTATTAGACAAGACAAGACAAAACAAAACACATCATAGATGGTCTTTTTGCCTTGGTATAATGAAAAATAATCAAACGTGTGTGTGACATCTATATACTGTATTTTCACCGGTCATTGTGTTAGAGGCAGCGTACAGCCTGGACGGTTTGCAGGTCCATCACAGAGCCACATTGAGACAAATGAGACAAACAACAATTCACACTCTCTCGCGTGATGTGATGCAGTTTACATGAAATCAAATTACTCAAAATGTTTCTGTTTACATTTTGCAGAAAAGAACGAGGGAAAAACTGGTGCATGTTTTGTCTCTGTGTGGACAAGAAGTGGGGCTCACAAAAAACCCTTCGGTAATCTACTGGGAGTTTTGGCAGTACTATACATTTTAACAATGTTTAGTTTGTTTAGCTTAATCTGATTTTTTTTTTTCATTCTCTGTGTAGGTTATCTTCTCCAGCTGTGGGGAATTGGACCTCATGGAGCACCAGCCCAGCCTGGTTTCCTCTGATGAGGGGACCCGGGAACTGGAGAACACAGATGATACCACCTCAGAGCAGCAGTTCAGAGTCTTTAGAGACTTTGACTTTCTGGATGTTGAGCTTGAAGATGGAGAGGTGAGTCAAATTATGTTTGATTTCATTGGTAAGCTCATGAATCAAAAATCAACAGTTTTGAGAATAGAGAGAAAACATTTTATCATTCTGTTAGTTGAGGCTCAAATGTTCCATGTAACGTGGGCTCTGTCTCTGTTTTTCATATCTGTGCAATCTAGGAGCTACAGGTGAGTTTAGTCATGCTGCATTTGCACTTGGTGTGTTTGCTCGTGTAGATCATATAGTAGCTGCCAAAGTGAAGGCAGAAACACCAAATATTCTTGCATGAAAGGCTGTTTAAAAAACTGATTTTGCCACATTTATTGACAAGAAAAATAGGCACTTAATTGGTTAAACACACTGTTTGTTCAGCATATTTGTAACCTCTTTTGGTCCTGTCTTTAGACTTGTGAATTACAGAATTGTTTGCATTTGCTAACTACAATCAATCCATTTTTGGGATAAATCACTAGAATAGTTATTTATTTACCAACATTTATTTAGCCAGAAATTACAGATCTCTTTTTTAGCATGCTCACTCATAAATACCACATCACTACCCATTAAAAATGACCGTCTAAATGTAGTCAGTAGAAGACATTGGCCACAATCAATAAAAGACTTTTTAAAATAAATTCTAAAGGAAATGGGTTTTAATAGATACAGGAAGTCTCTCTTGAATTGAAGCTTTGCTGAAATTTGTTGGCTGACATCTTCAGTCTTATCAAGTTAAATGATCGAATTAGCATTCACGTCTAGAGGATATTAGACTAAATATTTGTGACCCCACCAGTTTGATGAGCAAAGCAGATCTTATTATTTGGGATTTTGGTCAAGTTTATATAAAACTATAGTGGGTTACCCCTATAGTGCTAGCTTTGTTTTGAACTTATGCAGTATGGCTGAGTTAGATTATACTGTGACTGGCATCATAGTAAAATTGATTCACTATTGCAGGGAGAGACTGTGGACAACTTTAACTGGGGTGTGCGTCGGCACTCCGTGGACAGTTTGGACCAAAGTGACCTGCAGCCTCTGGACAACAGTCAGCTGTCCAGCAGCATGCCCAGCTTCAGCAAGGTCACCCATGAAGACTCAGATGAGTCATCTGAGGAGGATTCCCTCACCATCAGTCAGATACTCTCCCATTCTCAGCTTGTAAGCCTATTCTAGTTTTCTATTGTTTCATGTTCAAATGTGGTCTTCAGACAGTTTTACTCAAAGTTTGTATAAGTTGTGGTGATAGATGGCCACACAGCTGTCATTCCACTATATATATTTAAAATGTTGTTCTTGTCTCTTTTCAGAGTATCAACCTATCATATTTAAAATGTTGTTCTTGTCTCTTTTCAGAGTATCAGCCTATCTCCAACAGCAGATATCAGTAGCATGGACACCTCCTCTGCCATCTTTGACAGAACATCAGCAGATTCAACTCCTCTGAGCACCAAAAATCCCAGTTTCGAGGTTCAACTGTCAGAGGACTCGAAGCAGCGGGTGAATAAGGGCTTCAGAGTGTCTGAGATCCTGGGAAATACTAATTCCTATCGTAGTTCCATACTAGAATTCATTACTAATTTAGCTAAATAGGAGCTATCCTGTTGCATTTTTTCTTTGTCTGATGCATTGAATGTTAAATGTGCCATAGGTTCAGTCCTGTGATAAGTAGTATTGCATGTTTCTGACTTGGGACTTTTCTACATTTCCTGTTTTTTAAAGAAGTACATAAGCTGATCTTTTCTAAACGTACTGTATTCGAGGCTGCATGCAAAGGGAAACTGAACTAAAACCTGCAAGCTTACAAATTGTAGTATTTGGGGCAGAGGGATAGTTTGGGCTTTTCTTTATTTGTGGCAGAGTCTGTTTGGGGGTGTGAGCAGGGGTCTCAGCCTGCACTAAAAACAAAAGTTTTCTTTTCCATTTGTCTGTTTAAGGCAATGTGTATACCTATTGCTTCTTTTGTGGGTGGCTCTGAGCAAAAACTAAAAATTCCTAGCATGTGGATGGTCAGAAAAGGTGTACGCATTGCCTTTTTGAAACTAAAAAAGTGTGCATGGCCACACAGCTGGCCAAGTTCAAATTCGAAAAACTCAATTGATTGGCATAATTTATGCACACTAAATTTACCAAATCAAAGAAAACGACAAAGGGAGTGTCCATACGGTGCCAATCCAAGGTTAGTGTATGCGTTTTAGCCACACAGTGATCAGTTTAAAATAAATAATGACACAGGAAATAATAGATAATGTCATGCATCATGGTTCAATTTTTGTTTATGACTAATCAGTTTTACCATTTACTGATGTCCCTTTTTTTCTTCAGAATGAGGTATCAAAAGATGATGAAGACAACAGTGCACAAGAGGACGAAATCTCTCTCTGCATCAGTGAACTGCCTCCAGAGTATCAATGTGGGGACAGTTTGTCAGTAGACATGGTAGATAATGATATCAAAGCAGAGCCAGAAGTTGACTGCTGTTTACCCAGGTACACATTCAGTGTCAGTTCAATCCACACTAAAAGCATTCGCATGAAATGTTGTATGTCTTTTTAATATGCATCTGTGTCTGTTTAGTCTTGCTGAGGAAGAGGAGGAGGAGGAGGAGGAGGAGGAGGAGAGAGATGACATGCTAGAGTCACGCTCATCACCCCCTCCATTGCCCTTCTTCTCTGCCATTCTTGCTGCTTTCCAACCAACAGCGTGTGACGATGCAGAGGAGGCCTGGCGAAGTCACATCAACCAGCTTGTTTGTGACTCAGATGGCTCCTGTGCAGTCTACACGTTTCAAGTGTTTTCTTCACTTTTTCAGGTACCATTGCCTGATTTTTTCTGTGCAATCAAACTGTTTGAATTTTTATAATTTGGTATGGTATGGTTGGGTTGGGTTGAGTGGGGTGGGGTTGGGTAGAATAGGGAAGTGTGTGTATGGTAGGGTAGGATATGAAGTATAATGTATGGTTTGGTATAGTATGGTATAGTAGGGTTAGGCTGAGTAGGGTAGGGTAGTTTAGGGTTAAGTAGGGTAGGGTTGGATATGGTATAATATATGGCAGGGTTAGGTTGGGTTGAGTAGGGTTGGGTATGGTAGGGTTAGGTTGGGTTTAGTAGGGTAGGGTTGGGTATGGTTTGGTTGAGTAGGTTAGGATAGGTAGGGTAGGATATGATGTGTAATATATGGTAGGGTAGGGTAGGTTTGGCTTGGATAGGGTAAAGTTGAGTAGGGTACAGTAAGGTAGGGTTGGGTAGGGTAGGTTTGGCTTGGGTAGGGTAGGGTATAGGGTAAAGTTGGGTAGGGTACGGTAAGGTAGGGTTGGGTAGGGTAGGTTTGGCTTGRGTAGGGTAGGATAGGGTAGTGTAGGGTGAAGTTGAGTAGGGTACGGTAAGGTAGGGTTGGGTAGGGTAGGTTTGGCTTGGGTAGGGTCGGATAGGGTAGGGGAGGGTAAAGTTGAGTAGGGTACGTAAGGTAGGGTTGGGTAGGGTAGTGTATGGTTGTACATTAACAAAATGTTCTTCAAATCACTGACCAAATCTGACAGTAGAAAATTTCTAAAAATCTTTAACAAAGAATCTAAATACCTTCTGTAGTTCAGAAGTAAGTTTGTCAGCTAGTGTGTTCTTTTGGTTTGCAGAGTATTCAGACTAAATTTTGCTCCCTGACCTGCGATGCTGTAAATTATCTGGGTGATGGCTTGAGTGGATTAGGATCAAAGTTCCTGAGGTCTTCTGAGATGCTGGCATCATGCTCAGAGTGCCCAACTCTACTAATTGATGCTGACACAGTGAGTAAGCTAAAATCTTGAAGTTTCTGAAATGTTAGTGATAAAGGAAAAACCAATCAATAACTGAAGTTTTTCTACAGATTATGTCTTATGGACTTCTGGAAAAGATGAAATTCAGTGTGTTGGAAATTCAAGAATATCTTGATAGTTACAACAACAGAAAGGAGGCAGCTCTTACTGTAAGGAGATAAAATATTGCTCTTATCCATCCTGCCCGTTGTCATGTTGGTGTTTGAGCTGCAATTAAGATACTTTTCTTACACACAGTGGCTGAACAGCTGTAAGGCCACCTTTCCCCTTAATGCTGGAGACATGGTGATGACAAACCAACCAATGGAGACTGAGGAAAAGGTAAAACCTGATGTTTTGAACTGTATGCAATAACTGATATGCGTTGATTGACACAATTCAGCCCGTTTGCAAAAACAAGTAAAAATGCAAAGGATTTTTTTACATCTGATCTTTCATGCTGTACTTTCTGCCTTACGGTTACTGTGTGATACTGTAGCTCTGTGAGTGTTACGTCTTCTTTTCTCTCACTTTCTGTCAAATTTGGTGCATGTCACGTACCCCCGACTCTGTGTGCGCCTTTATTTTTTCCTGTGAATGTTTTCAGCTCTGCTGGGCATAGAAGCAAGCTGTAACAAATTAACAGCAACGTGTTTTGCCGTTAATAAAATAGCTTGCCTAAATCATCTTGAGAAGATGATTGTGTTTGAGCATTACAACAGTAAATTTGTTTTACTTGTCTTTTTAATTAATTCACTTTAACCACTTTTTAAAATTCTTATTTCACATTTATATTTTTATAAGCACTGCATGTGAATTAAATGATGCAGTATGTTCTCATATTTTTCATCCTTTTCTAACTTGGAATCAGTTGCATGACCTTTAATTTTTTTTGTTTTGTTTTCTTAACTTCTTTTTTGCTTGCTTGGTAGCGAATGGAATCTCTAGCTGTAAGTTTGATGTGGCTTGTTTATTTTCTTCTATGAAATAAGAACAAACTTTTATTCATTTTCATTTTAAGTATACTATTGTGTGAATTACTGTCAGTGATCCACTGTATGTGAGTTTGTGGTTGATCAAAAATGTAATTGTGAAAGCTTTGCTCTTATTTCCAGCAACTGGAGCTTTGTCAAAGACTCTACAAACTCCACTTTCAGCTGTTGCTGCTTTTTCAGTCCTATTGTAAGCTGATTGAACAAGTCCATGAGATCAGCTTGTTTCCAGAGGTAGGTCTGTCTCCACTTCGCTGTCTTTTATTTTTGAAGCCACAACACTCACTGTCGAATTAATGTTGGCTTTATCTTGAAAACTTTAGCTCACAAATATGTCGGGTGAAATCAATGAACTGAGGAGAAACCTGAGGGTCGCGGCAGCCTCGGTGATGAATGACGAAACTTCTGCCTATGAGAGTTCCTGCTCAGAGACCATCATGAGCTCCTCTGAAGCTGCAGTGCAGGCTATCCTGGAGGCTCTGAAAACCAACGAGCTTTTAAAAGCCATTCACTACATTCGTGAATGCAGGTGCGAAAAGTGAGATGCGTAAATAGAGAGTTCAGCAGAGTAATGTTTAAATGTTTCATCTATTTTTAGTCTTTTTTGTTGTTTTCGTGGGTAAACAAATGCACGTGGTAGTTGGCATTTTAATTTAAGGGCATAATATTCAATGAAAAATATTGTGAAGATTTTGTTTCTATCTTTGTTCAATCTTCATGTGTTGTAAGTGAGATACAGTATCATCCTAACAATAATAATAATATTAACTTCTTGATTTCTTGGCAGAACGCTGTGGCCAAGTGACATATTTGGCAGCCCCTCTGAGGATGAAATCCAAACATTACTAAACATTTACTTCAGACATCAAACTTTGGGCCAGACAGGAACGTTTGCTTTGGTGGGCTCAAAGCAGGACCTGACAGAAATCTCTGTCAAGCTGATGGAACTCAACGGGGAGACCCGGGACATGATCCGCCGGGCGCAGGGCTACAAAGCCATAACGGCTTTTCTCCCAGATTCCAGGGTTTCAGGCTCAACTCTCTGATGTTGGTCGTGGTGGTTTGTGGCACTTGTAGCTGCTCTTTCATTTCAGTTTTCAACAAAATTTCCGCTATATCCTAAGATAACCAAACTCTTTACTTCCTCTTCTGTCTCTGAGTATCTCAATGTCTTGAACTCAGTCTTTAAACATGGAGCAGTAATGATTTTACAGTTTTATTTGCTGTTTGTAAATGTCAACCTTTTCTTGCATGAATAAAATCAATTCTCACAAAGCCTCAATTTGCCACAGACATCAACAACTGTCCCATTTAACAAATAACGTACCAAAGCTAAGTGTTGTTTTTACGTGTTAAGGGAAAATGTGCAATCTTTTACCATTTCTGTCTCTTAAAAGAATGTATTAAAATGTCATAGAATTGGAAAACACTGTTAGTGGAGAAAAAGGGAGGCATCATTTCGTCATTATGTTTGTGAGTCATTTGTGTGTATTTATGTGTACATTTTGATGTGCTGTGACTGTGCATGAGTGCGTGAATTAAATTATATTGACTATCATGGGTGGAACTATTGATTTTGATTTGTATGAGTAGCTAGTGTTAAAATATTCTGACATATTGCAAATTTACTGTAATGCCTCCATGTTACTTAAAACATCTTACTGTAGTTTATAAGGGAGCAGCTTTTTGCAAATACATAAAATATTTATATTTAAAGCAAGAGAAAACATACTTTTTTCTGATGAGATATATCAAAAGATGTGTTGTGTTATTTTTTAAACCTGCCAAGCTAGCAAATTCTATGTATTATGAAATAATAAAGCTTATGAACAAGTAAAGAAACTATTTAATTGTTTGTAAATATTGAGCTGAAGGCTTTGGTAAAACTCATAAGACTGTATTTTTATGAAGTTCAAATTTTAATTGTATGTAGAAAACCAAGAAAAATACATAATACATGTAAAGCTTCCAACATTGCTGTTGCAGCCTTTGACCTTGTAAATACATTTGTCTTGGCAATGTATAATCAATATTATATTTTTATTTATTTTTAGATGGGTATTGTGTTCACTTAAGTGTCGCTAAAACATTTGTCAAATGAGGAGTTGTCATTTTTATCATTGTTGTGAGTCATCACAACGTTTCCAAATGAGATCACACTGTAAGTTTCAAACTCTCAAAGCCATTTGAAACACTTGTAAATGTAATTCTCAGTAATAAAAAAAAAACAGAACAACTAAGTTGTCCAATGTGTCTTATAAAAAAGTCCTATGTGCAGTTAAAATAAATAAACAAACAAATGAATAAACAAATAAATATGTGTGTGTATATATATATATATATATATATATATATATATATATACCCTTGGTGCTGCTTTTTTCCTGGTTCAGTAAATTACAATGACTCTTTTTGTCTTAATGTCTCTTATTTTGAATTCGCCCAAACTTCCGGTTTCGGCGCGCGAGATTTGTGTTGTTGTGCTGCGAGCGAGCACAGTAGCTAGCAAGATGGTTGTTTAGCAAGAATTTTTTTTAAATTACCTGTATTAGTTTATTTTTGTGTTTTCGTGTGAACATTTTGTTAGGAGTTTTTTCTCTCGACATGAACAACAACAGTCTTACAGTTCGTCATGGTAAGTTTGTGTCGTTAAAACTGAATCCTCATGGGTTTTGTCCTTTTTGAACATATGTGGACGTGGTTGAAACAGACTAACATGTGTATTCGACAGTTTGGCATGGTGGCTGTAACGTAACTGTTTGATAGTTTAGTAGACAAAACGTATTTTTGTTGTTGCAGATGTGGACTAAGCCTCACCTTCACGGAAAAGAGAAATAATTAATATTTGTGTTTATATTATTTTGTCTTTCAGGTGTGCCCTATTTTTAGGTGTAACTCGAGTTCTTTGGAATGGATATATCCCTAAAAACCATGTACGACGCTTTCAAAAATGAAATCTGGAAAGGTGAGATGCCAGTGCTTGCAAAGTTGTGACTTCAATTATTACTGCAGCCACATATAGGTCAGGAATATCCTATTTGTGTAAAGAGAAACTAGTACTATGTAAAATCTAGTGACACATCTATTGTTTTGTAAAAGCTACAGGACATCATGGCGCCATTTTAATTGTGTGTTTACTTTGCATCTTCACTAAAAGCCTTTTGCATGTTTGTAATTTGTCATTCCAGAGCTGGGACAATTAGACCCAAACTGGTTTGAAGTACTAACAGCTCAAACGTCTCCTAATGAAAGAAATGTTCCTGATAAGGATGAACTATGTGCAAACCAAGAGGGAAATTTCAAAACACCTTTGGAGAAAACGGCATCGGACAGTCAGTTGTTTTCAACGCCCAAGGCTTTCAGACAAATTCGAACTGTGTCACCTGAGCCTGAGGATGAGCGGTCATTCACAGCTGCACAAGGTAGGATTCAAGTTGTTGAAGCACAAATATATATATATATATAAAGGGGCAATATTATGTGTTTATCAGGCATATAGTTAAATACTATATCATAATAAAGTATCTACGTCACCTTTAGTCTTTATTAAAATGCTGTTTTTATGTTTAAATAGAAAATAAACTTATCTTCTCATCACTTCTTCTTCTAAACGCCTTGAAATTGGCCTCTGTCTCTTTAAGAACCACCTTCTGCTTCTGTCTCGCCCATTTCAGTGTGGGGGGCTGCTATGATGCAGTTTACTTGGCATCTGAAAATACATTTCCTCAAAGGTATTTTTAATCTGAAAAGAGCTTCACTTGAGTGAGAACTGATGTTGAGAGCTCAGCAGACAGTTTAAGTTTCACTTTCACTTGTTTGCTTTGTTACTGCGAGAGCCTGCAGGAGTCATGGGCCGGGTGTGTGGGGGGAGGAGGGGGCACTCCGCCATGAGGAAGCTCGGCTTAAAGACACGTCCCAGGGGCGTTTCTGGTACCAAAAGGCGTTCCTGGTCCCCACCTGTCATTTTGCTCCTCAGCATGGCTTCCTAAAAATGCTGCAGGATTTCTCAAACATGCATGGATGAGTCAGAGCAAGGCTTTGGGCATGTTTTTTTATGAGAGTATAACATGATATAAAACTCAAAAAAAGTTGATTTTACGTGATATTGCCCCTTTAAATGTATCTTGTAATGCAAAACCCTAGTGACTTATGTTTTTCTGTTATAATAATAATAATAATTATCTTTTTGATTTCCATCTAAAAGCATTTTCTCTGTTGTGCATCTTAGAAAGAGCACCATTACCATGGATGGCAACACAAAGTCCTTGTTTATTTCAGGTGTCAGGACAGGGGTGAGTACTAACAAAATGTTAATTCAGTACTACATAGCTCCTAAAAAGCCTGTGACGTGCTTTTTACACAAATAAAAAAATGGAACTAAACATCTTAGAGTTTAAGAAATTTTGCACAGTACACATGATCTTACCCATTTTGTCAAATAACTGGCATATTCATTTTATTTTGCTGCTGCCAAAGTAAAACAAGAAGTGATAATAAAGGGGACATTTTTAAAAAGGGAGACTCCTTCAGCTCTTTGTTTATTGAGACAATACTAAATGAAACACTTCTCTCTCTGATTATGACTAAAAAAATTCTAAAGAAACAGATTATTTGTTACTTTCTGTGTTGTTAGCCCTTGTAACAATGTTGTGTTTACTTGCAGACATTCCTTTTTGTCATTACTTATTCCTGTGCGTTAGGGCTGCAACTAATTACTATTTTGATAGTCGACTAATCTGCAGTTGTTTTTCAAATAGTCGATTAGTCACCAATTATTTTTGTCACAACGTCCATCTATGCTTTTTGTGGTTGCACCTCCTATACCAACTCCAGTGCACATCCCATCTCACCTGCTCATCATACCTGTGAATGTCACCTTGTTATCCAGTGTCTCTACCTTAACATAAGTTACTATAGCAAATTAAAACAAAGACCTATGAAACATATGAATTAAAACCTCAAACTTAATACCTTACTTAGTTGTTGATTTTATTTGTGTGTGTGGTATTTCTTTCTTTTTTTACGTCTGTGTTGGTCTGTTTAGTGTTGGTCTGTTCACTGCCCTGGATGAGAAATGTGAAGCTGTTGAGCCTCACAATGAGGACAGTTTGGGTAAGCTTAAAATGTATCTGTTTTTAATCACTGTGATTAGCATTTGTTAATATTCAGGCACATTCTGTTGATTTTTCTTTTACTTTATTTATTTTTTGCTTTTAACATTTGCACAGATTTACTCACTACACCAAACAAATCTTCGGTAAGTATGTTACGTCTAATTTTATTGATACTTTTATCTCAACAAGTCGCTATCCAGATGTAAAGAGCAACATTCAAGTTTCATCTCCTTAAAATGTCATTTGAATCATGCAGGTCAAATATGCCAAGCATATTAGTGAAAGCCTTGGTGCCCAGATAAATCCTGACATTTCTTGGACAAGTTCTTTGAATACACCCCCAGCAGTGCCATCCACCCTGATTTTATGTGAGTAACTTCTTTTATTTGTTAGGTAAAATTTTGAGTTTGGTTAATTAAAACTCAGCACATGAAAAACTGTGTATTCTGTCAATGTTACAGCTAAAACTGATGAGAGTCCCTGTCCATTAAGTGTTACTGCAGACAGAAATTTTGTTGTGAGTATTTTACATGTTCCAAGCGTATAACAAACACTGTGACAGCCACTATTTTATTTGCTAGTGTATTCTGCGTTTAGTAAAAAGTGATACGAGTATCAAGAAGAAGTAATGTTCTGAAATGTTTCTACAGAAAAGACAGAACCGCTGCATTAGTTGGACCATAGTAGGGTCCATCTATTTTGGATTATGTTTTTAAGCATGTGTTTTTCCTCCTATCTTTGTAGTTTGTACGGAAGCTTTTCCCTTCTCTTTCAAAAGCATCTTCAGTAGACGTACCCAAAAACAAAGCTATTCCTTCTGTTTCCCAAGGTACTGATTTTTCCTTCCTTGGACAAATTACAATGGTTGTGGAGCTGAGTTAAATATGGAAAAATAAAAAATATATGCGTTACAACAGCATAGTTGCTTGCACAAAAACAGATTTCCTATCTTATTTTTGTCTGTTTGTTTGTTAACATAGGTGCTGTGTCTTTTGAGACCCAAAACTGCCTTCAGTCTTCATTAAATCAGACTGAGGATGTTTGGCAACAAGAGCCTCCAGATGATGTTGACAACGAAGAAGTTTGTAACAAAGTAGAAGAAAATCTTGATGCAGCTGAAACTGTTGACTCTAATTTCTTTGCCAACAGTAGTTCAGCTTTGAGAAAAGTGAAACCCGACAGAATCAAATGTAAACAAATCATTCAAGCAAAGGAGAAGTGCAGCTCTAAAGATGTCACAGGATTACACTGTTCTCCATCAAGTGTAGAAGCAACAGCTGATCTGAAATCTGTTAGATTACCCTCAACCCCACTGTCAAAAATTGGAGATCCTGCAATCAGTCAGTGGTCTCCTTTAAATTTATCTGAAATCCCACCTTGTGCTTTGGAGAGCAGTGTTTTGACAAAGCAAGGTGACACAGAATCTGTTGAGCTCTTCAGACCATCAATGAATATCCCAGACTTTGGATTTATCAAGCAAAAGAGAAAATTTGTTTATACAATTCCATCTTCAAAAACACAAGTTCAAGGAAAAGAACATCAGTCTCAGAAGATGGACTCAGCATTTGGAGTTTCAGATTGTGGTAACTGGTTTTTTTTTTTTTTTTTTACTATTTAATATTCATGTTTATGCAAACTTTAATGAAAAAATAAATACATGTATTATGCTCCTTTTTTAGGACAAGAACTGAATGTCAAACTTTTGGAGAAAGTCCCTGGTGAATCAGAGGGCTGCAACACACAGAAGAACACTTTCCAGAATCAAAGAAAAATAATGGGAGAAAATAGAGGAGCAAAAATCCAAGATTTTGACATGTCACAGCTTTGCAAAGAGTTCGCACAAGACTTTAGCCAAGCAGTACCGGTAATTTTTGGCCAGAAGGATAAAGTAGCAAAGGATTCTTTAAATAACTTCTCTCCTTCAACCTGTCTCTCAGCCATGAAACAAGCAAAGCAAAATGCAAAACAAGCTGATCTTCATGAAAGTGATGGCACCAATAACAGAAGACAAACTTGTTCAGTTAGTCCTGGTACTGCAAGTGACAGTGGAATGCAGTCCGGTGTTGCAGACGTCACTTGTACGACCTCCTCATCAGAAAATGCTGGTTCAAGTCAACAGCATGTTAGTACTTTTCTATTTACCAAAGAAGAAATTTGGAAAGAACATTTAGAAGTAGAAAGTAAAACCACACTGCAGAACTTTATGGAAAGGGAGACATTGGACCCTGGAAAAGAAAGTGGATCACACATAGAGACCAAGCCAACATGTCAGCCCAGCATTACAGAAGTTGTCCAAAAAAGTGACTGTATTCCATTAAGTAGTCAGATTTATGACAGTCTACCAAAGAAAACCAACGCTTCGCTCTCTTCTGCATATTCATCGGGATTCAGAACTGCTTCAGATAAAGGAATACACATCTCCTCAGCCAGTCTGGAGAGAGCAAAGTGTCTCTTTGAAGAAACTGAAGGTAAAAAGATTTTTAATAATCAATTCACCAAATATGACCACCCTGCTAAGCCTAAAATCAGCCTGAGTAATCGGCCTCTCACAAACAAAAATTCTACCTCAAACCAACTATCTCATTTGGAAGAAACACTTGGAAATAGTTCTCAGTTAACAGCTTCTGAAAAAGTTGATGTGACAGAACTGTGCTCTCTCTTAGAAGAAGCGGACAGTCAGTTTGATTTTACACAGCCCAAAACTGCAAAACTAATACAAAAAGATCAAGATGATGCCAATCCATCACAAAAACCTGACCGAGAACTTGACCCAGATTTTCTTGCTGGTATAAATTTTGATGACAGCTTCAATTCAGATGGTGGAAAGAACTCTGCAAACACTGTGATGCTTGACAAAATGGCCTTGGTTTCAGATCAGTCCACAAGTCAGTCCTCAGATCTATCATCTTCAACTGCACTGAAAAATCAAAGTTCTTCGGTAGCTCCTTTCTTGGAAAACATTTCTGAAGACAATAATCATCTTATTTTAACTGGACCCAATAATTTCCACACAGCTGAGCATGGTGAACCAAGCAAACTGAACAACTGCAACCCTTTAATGTTTGATGTGGCTTTCACAACAGCAGGAGGAAATATGTTGAGAGTTTCAAAAACATGTTTGAGCAAAGCACAAGCTTTGTTTGCAGGTTTAGAGAAGAATCTGACAGATCAAAAACCACTAGGCCAGCAAAATGCTAAAATTGATGCCAAAACAGATCAAAACTGCAGCATGGACTATGACACATGCAAGAAGGTTTTGAAGTTCACATCCAAGGATAAGTGTCATGTTGAGAAGAATATTCAAGACTGTTTTTCCAAAACAGAGCAGTCTGTATATCCATATAAACAGGTCCCAAATGTTGAAGATAAGGATTGCCCCAAGAGTTTCAAAAACAACAAAATGGACACCAAAGTGTTACAAAGTGATTTCCACATGGCTAGTGGGAAAGGGATCTCTATTTCAACAAAATGCATCCAACAAGCAGACGCTTTCTTCAAAGACTGTAATATAATGGGGCATAAAGATGACATGCCTCATAAGAAAGATGTACAAGCGTCAGCTAAAAGCACTGAAAATAAGAGCTTTTCAAAATACAAAAACCTAAAGGTCAACACCTCTGAGGAACATGTTGCTGGGTGCACCACATCTGAAAAGGTAAATGCAGGACTAATTGCACTTCACACAAAAGGACCACATGTTAATGGAGAGGACATAAGCAGTAATGGTTCACCTGCTTTGAAGGATGCAAAGTCTTTCCATGGAAACCCATTTACAACTTCATTGCCATTTTCTACACCTTGCACATCAAACATTGTTTTGTCTGCCGTTAATGGGTTCTGTACAGCCAGTGGAAAGAAAGTCTCTGTGTCAGCTGACGCAGTGAGAAGGGCTGAATGCCTCTTGAATCAGATTAACATGCATGATGATGTAAACCTACAGCTTAATCGAAAGGAAAGTGCAAAAAATACAGGAGATTGCGGGGATGAGGGCTTAAATGTAAAAAATATGGGATTTCAGACAGCTCAAGGAAAAGAAGTTGCCATTTTGTCAGCTCAAAAGAAAACAAAGACCTTAATAAAAGAATGTGAAAGTGACAAGGATGCAGCCAGTGGTGAACCTGTAGTGGTGTCATCTGAGGACTTACAGAAGACTAAGACAGTCTGCACTGATACCAGTTTGAGCATAGATATCCCAACAGTTTTCAACACAAAGGGTGATGAAAAACACAAAGACGCTCAAGATAAAACCGAGAAAAGACACTGTGGATTTACAACAGCAGGTGGGGCAAAAGTCCATGTTTCACAAAAGAACCTTTTAAAAGCCAAAGATCTTTTCAAGGATTTTGACGATTTGGATTTAACCAAAGCAATGCGAGAGGCAGATGCTTTCTTTGACTGTGATGTGGATGACGATGAAAGTCCAGAAGGTAACAAAGATGATGCAGATGTGAGCGCGGGTGCTAAGAGCAAGAAGGAAAATCTTGTCAAACTTGATCCAGATCAAAGTATTACAGTAAATAATTCAGAAGAACCTAAAATAAGATCTGCTGTGGACATGAGCAAACAATTGAAACCAAAAAAAGAGACCTTACCACAGCAGAATAGTGGATTTCAGACAGCCAGTGGAAAAAGTGTCCATATATCATCTGAGGCTTTAAAGAAAGCAAAAACCTTGTTAAGTGATTTTGAAAGAGTTGAGAATACATTAAATTCAACTCTACCACAGTCTGAAGTCGGTGTTCTGCCATGTAGGAATGCTAGCTTTATTTCTGGCAATGGTAAACCTGTAACACTTTCACCTGAGGCCCTTCAAAAGGCACAATCTCTCTTCAGTGATATTGGTATGAGTGCAGAAATCCCAGACATTTCACGGACAACAAAAATTGACAAGAAACAAAACAGTGGTAACAATACAGAGAAATTACTTTGTGGTTTCACAACTGCAGGTGGAGCAAAAGTCCACGTGTCAGAAAACAATCTTCTAAAGGCAAAACTTCTGTTCGAAGAATGTGACAATTCATCAAAAACAAGTCTGGATGCAGATGTATCTTTTAAAAAGGAAATAGACTGCATTGTAAGCAGCAACAGTAAAATATTGTCTGAACGCAAAAGTAGAGCTGTTTGTAGTGAAGATGATAGTTTGAATAAAAATGTATTCAAACATCAATCTGTAACAAGAAATGTTTCTGATGAGCCTGGAAATGGATTCACAAAGGACATTAAAGAACAAGTGAAACGAAGAGAAGGCGCTTTACTTCAACAAAAAAGTGGATTTCAGACAGCTGGTGGGAAATTAGTTGCTGTGTCATCTGAAGCTCTGTCAAAAGCAAAAATCTTGTTAAATGAAAATGAAGCTAAGGAAAACATGCATGTCTCGTTGCCATCTTCCAAGATTCCTGTCACTGAAACCTTTTCTTGGAAAAGTGGGTTTTCTTCAGCCAGCGGTAAACCTGTAACATTTTCATCTGAGGCCTTGCAAAAAGCTAAAGCTCTTTTCGGCGACACCAGTTTGAGTACAAACAACTCAACTCTTCCAGACACAAAGAGGAGTGATGAGAAACATGATGTTCAAAGCAAAGCTGAATATATACACTGTGGTTTCATGACGGCAGGAGGAAGACAAGCCCACATTTCAGAGAAAAGTCTTTTGGAAGCAAAACAGTTTTTGAAAGAATCTGCTGATGGAGAGCACAGTTCGTTTTCAAACCCAAGTCCACAAAACACAATGAAACTGGAGCCACCAAAAGCAAAAAATGTGGAAAGAACTGATAATCTTACCTCTCTCAGCGATGAGAATAGTCATGTAAAGAGAAGTGATCCATGTGAAAGAAGGTCATTTTCTACCACGACAGGAGTAGAAAACCTAAAAGATGTTGAGGAGTCAAACATGTTGGGTTGTAATATTAATCAGACAAGTTACAGCAAGACAACTGAAGTTCAGAGAACAGAAGAGTCTTCAGATCTCAACTTACAGCTACTAAATTTCACCGGTTGCACAGAAACTCAGCACAGGTTTCTTGCACAAGAAGCTCTGGACTGCACAAAAGCCCTGCTAGAAGATGAAGTGCTTGCTGGACAGAATCTCTTAGTCATTTCAGAAGATACAACTCAGCCAGATGAACTAAAATCAAGCAACAGATTAACAGAGGATGAAAAAGGAAGGAAGAGACTGTTAAAAGACACAGATCTCACTGGTAAGTGTCTTGCACCTAAAGCTTTACTTAGAATATTATGTTGTATTAACACTGGGATAGGACTTCATTCAGTACTTCAATATTCTAAGTGACATGTTTTTGTTATGTTTTTTGCTAGAGTGTAGCTCTATCACAGAAACTATTTACACATTAAACTTGAATGGTTTTCTTATTTTTTTTAAACAAAGGTCATCCTCCTTCTAAAAGAAGATTACTGGATGAGTTTGACAGAACTTTTGATAGTTCAAAAGGTTCAGTTCTTCATCCTGTAAAAAGTTGTCCAAATGGTAAGTCAATTACACTATAAACAGCTATCCAAAATAAATATTGTGTATGTTAATTATTTTTATGTGTTAAGGTTTAATAAAAGACAGGGGAGTTTTTAAGTACAGTGCCTCACTTCATCCAAACATCACAAATCCACACAGGTAAGTTCTTTGTGGAAATTGTGTTTAACAAAGACTGGTGACAGTTGTCAGATCTTTGAGAAGTCTCCTTTTTTATACAGTGCTTCAAAACACTACAAAGACACAAGATTTCAAAAGACAACAGTACCGCAAGCCTCAGCCTCAGGAGATGGCAGAGGATCACACCCCAAGATGCTGTTTGTTCCGCCATTTATCAAAAATTCAAACAGAGAAATTCCCAAGAATCCGGACCCTAAAGAAAACACCAGAACACCTGTGTTTGTTCCACCATTCAAAAAGCAAAGAACTGTATTACAGAAAAGCTTCTCTAAACAACCAGAAGAACAAGATAAACGCCAACTTACCTCTACAGTAGAGCCTACCAGTAACATATATGTACCACCTGCTATAAAAACTCAAAGCACTACAGATGCTTCAGTCGACACTAGAAACCAAAATGTGTCAAATAATGCAAGTGTTCCTGTAAACTGTGAGGTAATGAGTTCTGAAGCAGAGGCATCAGTTGTGGATGACGCATTTTCCAGTGACCAAGGTAGAGTAACCCCTTTGACTAAAGTTGATTTAAACAACAAATACTCTGCCTAACCTGAGTGGAAAAATAAAGTGTCTGATTTATTGACAGATGAGCATCAGAATATTGAGCTGGCACGGGCTATGCAGGACATGAGGATCAGGAAGAAGAGGCGCCAGACCATTAGACCTCTGCCAGGAAGCTTATTTTTAACAAAGACTTCTGGAGTGGCAAGGATCTCATTAAAAGCTGCGGTGAATGGAAAGAACCCAGCAAGATACAACCCAAAACAGGCAAGCCTATAACTGTTACTGCACTTTGGAGAGGTAAAGTTGCGGGTAGCTATACTGCACCATCTCAGTCACTTTTCACAATGTGGTGTTTTTTTTATTTTTTATTTCAGCTTTATGAATGCGGAGTCCAAAGGAATGTTTTTGAGATGACCAGTGAGACTGCAGAGTCGTTTCGCTTCAATTTGCTGCAGTTTTTCAAGCGGGAAGCCTTTAAAGGTGGAGATGGTGTTCACCTTGCTGATGGGGGATCGTTGATCCCCAGCAATGATTGGACAGCAGGAAAGGAGGAATTCTATAGGTACTAGTAAAATTAAGCTGATGTTAAACTACTTGTTATATTAGGAATAATCAGGTGTGTTTTTTTACGTCAAGCTTAATGTACTGAATTTGTTCTCCACAGAGCATTATGTGACACTCCTGGTGTAGATCCTAAACTAATCAGTGAGGCATGGGTGTACAATCACTACAGATGGATTGTGTGGAAGCAGGCCTCAATGGAAAAATCTTTTCCAGAAACAATGGGCAGCCTTTGTCTCACTCCGGAGCAGGTTCTTCTACAGCTGAAGTACAGGTATATAAGGTTCAACTTGCTGTAGTTTTGTATATTTACAATTAGTGCTGGGCGGTATGACCCAAATTTTATATCATTCATATATATACTGTATATATGTCAGTCAACATAAGCAGCAGAATCGCCACCTGCTGCCAGTTACTTCAACAAGCATGCTAATGCGCATAGCGGTGCTGCGAGGAAAAGTGTCCCCCGGGAAACAGTTCACTGGTGGCCGCGACGAAACATTCCGAACGTGTTCATGCTATTTAAACCGGTATGTCGGTATTCAGAAAATTCATATCATCACAGAAATAAAAAAATGGTATTCTGTACAAACCGGTATACTGCCCAGCACTATTTGCAATTAGTACATATTACTGTAAAATGCACTAAAAATTTGTTTACACATTACCATACCCCATTTGGTGTTATAAAATATAAATAAAAAGGGACAAATGTTCACCTTTTACTAATTGCAGTTTCAGTGAATTACATTAAGTACAACGGCGGCTGTGGGAGAGTGGTTAGGGTGTGTTTTAACCATCAGGTTGCCAGTTCAGTACTAGTCAGAAAAATTAGATTAGTAATACAGTAATGACAAGAGGATAATCCAAATTTATAATTAAAAATTGCAGGCTCTTTCCACAATGATCAAAATATAATAGTGAAAAATGTCGCTAATTGCATTTAATACTTTCTTAGTTTAATTTGTACAAAATAAAAACATTTGAAACAACTGAATTGGCACATTGAATAACACATTAATTTTTGTATTTGTATAAATGAAAAACTCAGTCTGAAGCTTTGATTTCATTTTATGCAATAGGTATGATGTGGAGGTGGACCACAGCCGCAGGCCAGCTCTGAGGAAGATCATGGAAAAGGACGACACAGCGGCCAAAACTCTTGTTTTGTGTGTTTGCGAGATCATTTCCAGGGGCCACGCTCCAAACAGGCAGAGTCACAATGCCACAAAAACACCACAAAGTGCTGACGCCAAGATAGAAACGTCACATGCCGTCGTCCGGCTTACAGATGGTTGGTACGCCGTCAGAGCTCAGCTGGACGAACCTTTGACTGCTATGCTTCACAAAGGCCTGCTGACTGTTGGTGTCAAGCTGATCATCCACGGGGCTCAGCTAATAGGATCACAAGATGCCTGTTCCCCTCTGGAAGCACCTGATTCCCTTGTGTTAAAGGTATTCTAAATGGGAAGCTTCAGATTTTCCACTCGACACAAAGTAGCTACATAACATGGATTTTGTTGCTCGTGTTTAGATTTGTGCCAATAGCAGCAGACGTGCACGATGGGATTCTAAACTGGGATTTCAAAGAGACCCACGACCATTCCTGCTTCCACTCTCCAGTTTATTTAGCAATGGGGGGCCTATAGGATGTGTTGATATTGTCATTTTAAGAAGCTACCCCATACAGGTGTGTAGAGAAACACTGGTATATTTTAATATGGTCTATTTTTAATCAATTTAATTGGTAAAAATAAACAGCCCGTTTGACTGAATTTGTGGTGTGTTTTAGTGGATGGAGAGGAAAGCAGATGGAGGTATTGTGTTCCGGTCCTCTCGAGCAGAAGAGAAGGAGGCCAGACTGTTCAACAACCACAAACAAACAGCTATGGAGACACTCCTTGCCAAGATCCAAGCTGAATTTGAAAAAGAGGATAAAGGTTGAAGTTGTTTTTTTTTTTTCACTTGTAATTTCAAACTTAAACTGAGTAAAGCTTCAACAATTTTGCACTTTTAGAGAACGGCAAATGGCAGCGGAGAAGGCAATCCATCAGCCATCATGATGTTTCAAACCTCCAGGATGGAGAGGAACTGTATGAAGCAGTTGGAGATGATCCAGCTTACCTTGAGGTAAGATTTTTTTAAGACTTTTTTTTTTTCTCTAATGAAAATTTAATGCTCAGTCTTGTGCTCAAGGCTAAGTTGAGTGAAGAACAGTTGGAGACCCTACATGCCTACAAGCGTTCATTGATGGAGAAGAAGCAAGCTGAGCTGCAGGATCGATATCGTCGAGCTTTAGAGGCAGAGGACAACAAACTGAGCTGTCCCAAAAGGGATGTCACTCCTGTGTGGAGACTTTACATCGCTGACTCAAAAACCCAATCTAATCGTGGTGTGTCTTCAATTTTTTTCTTTTTATTTAATTTATATTACATTAACCTGCTTACTATTGTTGACTTATTCTTTCTTTTTTGTTATAGTTCATCAGTTGAATCTTTGGCGACCCTCCTCAGATCTTCAGTCTTTGTTGAAGGAAGGTTGTCGATACAAGGTTTATAACCTCGTTGCCTCAGGGGGACAGAAACGAAGCAGCGTTGAAACAGTTCAGCTCACTGGGACAAAGAAGACCCAGTTTCAGAACCTACAGGTGTTGTAGGAGGAGAAATATACGTATCATCTAACTTAAATGCATGAAAGACAGACTTTAACATTATACTTAATCCCTCAGGCCTCCCAGGAGTGGCTGTCAGACTATTTCCAACCAAGAGTCGCAACAGACTTTGTGAAACTTCAAAATGCAGAATTCCAGCCTCTGTGTGGAGAGGTTGATCTCACAGGATGTGTTATCAGTGTTATAGATGAACATGGTTAGTGTTCAAATCTTTAGTTTTATCATTATTTTTCACTAAAACAGTATTGTTTATTGAATTATAATTTATATTTTTGTGCTTAGGAACATCTCCTGCATTTTATTTGGCTGATGGGAAACTGAACTTTGTGAAAGTGCGCTGCTTCAGTGGTTTATCTCAGGCCGGTCTTGAAGATGTGATAAAACCACGCGTCCTTTTAGCTCTGAGCAACCTGCAGCTCAGGGGACAATCCTTACATCCAACTCCTGTTGTGTATGCTGGTGATCTGACGGTCTTATCTACAAACCCCAAGGATGTTCATCTTCAGGAATCCTTCAGCCAACTGAAAAACCTGCTCCAGGTACAGCACTGCCGATGCAGAACGACCCCAGAGCTGCTAATATGATTCAGAAACTATTACCTGCTCATCTTCTATGACTTTACAACAGTCAGGGTGCTTTATAGTTTACTTTTAAAATGTTAGCAGTGTGTTTTACTGCTTATTGGGATTTTGTGTTTTAATGAAATGCTTAGACAAGATAATGACGAGAAAATCTATTTGAAATTTTGGATAACGCTGTTGTTCCTCTGCAAAATAATGTCCTTTTTTTATAAAATGTTGCACCAAAGAGCTGTGCAGAAAAATAAATATATAATTACAATTATCACTGTGATTGTTTAGATTGCAATTACTAGATGATTAGATTCTGAAATCTATTGTTTGGATTTACTGGTTTGAACTGCTTCTAGCTTTCTTAGGTTTCTTTTTTCTGTATTTTTAGTGTCAAAACAACTTTTTTCAAGTTGCTGAAGAAAAGCTTTCACTTTTAGTCAAGTCTGATGGCACAAAGTTCATCTACTCTCCATCTCTGCGACCACAGACCCCAGTCTCTGAAACAGGCAGAAAACAAGACTCAAAGACAACTGTAAGTTTTTGTTCTCCTTTTTGTTTATTTTGAACTGTTTTATACATTGGACTAACTCAGGAAATGAAACCGTCTGTTTATTCAGGAAACATTTCAGAAAGCAGACCAAAACCTTGGATCTTTCACACCCGTCGGCAGGAACCCTCCAGCAGGAACGTCTTCGTCAGACTCCAAAAGCCTGAAAAGAAGAAGCGCTCTGGATTATCTGTCCCGTATCCCGTCTCCACCACCTCTGTCTCACCTGGCCTCAGCTGTTCCTCCATGTGTAAATAAAACATTTAAGCCCCCTCGGAGGTCTGGGCCACCCAGCACTTTAAAATCTGCAACGACTACAGTACAAAAACCCACTGACTCTCTGGTGGAGGATGGATGGGTGAATGATGAGGAACTGGCTATGATTGACACTCAGGCTCTGCATGTTGGTGATTTATTATAGGTGGACATGACTGAATGTTGATAAGACGTATCTTTTAACCACTGTACTGACTGAATGTAAAATCTGAAAGCTGCTTCGGACAAATCCAGTATTTGTTCTTGTTTTTGTTTTGTCACTGAAGTTATTAAAGAACTTATTACTTTCCAGAGTAAAATCATAGTATCATTTTTGCAGTTGTCTCCGACTTACAAAATGTTTACTTTATAAATTCAAATATCTTTATCCACAGTGTAGCTCTATGATTTAGATCTTTTTTATTATTTGAGTAGGTTCTTTTAAATATATACTTCTATTTCAGAGAGGTGACAAAGGGGAGGGGAAACTGGGGGTAAAAACAACTCCATATAAAATGGACAGAAATTGACCATAATAGTATATTTGCCGGTTGTGTAACAGAAATTCAAAGTGTTTTTTTTTTTTTTTTTTGATGGCCTCCCTTCTCCCCCTATAGCCATCCTCTCCACACCATTATTATGTTTTGTTTTTTGTTGTTTTTTAATAATAGGAGAAAAAAATTCAAAGTGTTATCACGCTTCCGTCCTGAGGGGGGCGCGCTCGCAAATGCACCCGTTTGTTGCGCGAACGGAAGTACTACGTCACTTCCGTAAACTGAAGCCTTCGGAAATGTGAAACAATTGCCGGCTGTTTTGCTAAAATATATTTTTACTCGCATTTATCTATTGTGAATGTGAACGGTAAGCATCCCGAACAAAAACAATAGTTGTATTTTACTGTTACGTTAAGCTAAAAACATTTTTATTGACTCGTTCGCGATTTGTGTTGCAGTTGACCTTTGTTGTCGATATGTGACTTTTTTTTTTGCTCAGAGACCAAGCCAATAGCCTATATATACAATAATAAAACAATGTATTGCAGTTTTTTTCTAATAATTGTCATGACTTATAGTTAAAATTGTTATTGTTTGGTTGTGAAATTAACTAGTTTGTATGGTTGTGCATATGTCTCTTTCAGATTTCTCCTCAAAGAGCTCAACTGCCTTTGAAAAACCTTGTATAGCAGGAAAGATCGGAGATGAGTCTGTTGATAAAAGCTCTAAACGTGCCACCACTGACCACAACAGTCCAGACCTATGTAAGGGACGAAGTGTTAAAGGAGGTTGGACTCACCAGCACAGCTTTCATTGGACCAGCATTTCCCCCAGAAACATCCCCGGCCAAATGCAACATGGATGACGCCCTGAGTAAGTTTTATGAGGAACTTGAGAAGATTGATCCACCAGATCTAAACCAGACTGAAAGTAATCCAGAGAAAGATGATGGTCCATCACAACCTCCTGAATTATCTGCCAGCAAAGAGACGCGGGATGAACCTGAGGGAAAGCTTCATATCACAAAGACTTCTTCAGAAACGAGCAGCTACCAGAGTAAACGGGAACAGACAAACATCTCCTGGCCTCATTGGTATCGAAATGAGCCGTACCAACTCAAACAGAGGCCAACGCCCAACCAGTGTCCTTATCCTCCATTTTCAAACAGACCACCATACCCCAGATTTGTCCCACCGGCTTTACCTTACCGGTCACATCCGTCTGCCTGCCCAAAGTCACGAAACCTGCCACTGTATATTGATAACGCCTTCAATGATGCTAGAATGACAAACCAGAGTTACAATGAATTTAATCTTCCAGCACTTCCACCTCCGCACACATGCCTTCACCCCTCTCAGGGATTTTATGGAAATCCTCCTCAGCGCTTGGGTTGGAATGACGCAGATTCAGATCACAGAACTGCTGGGTGGTCAGGGGACAGAAGAGAAGAGTGGTCTTGGCATGATGAAAACTATGTCTATGAAAGTTTGCCACAGCATCCCAACCAACTGCGCGATAATACAAACACGTTCCATTCTTCCCTGGTGCTAATTCTAATGAGGGGATTACCAGGATCTGGGAAAAGCACATTGTCGAGGTATAATTATGTGTGATCTCAATCAGGAGTTAGCCTTTTGTACGTACAGCTGTTATTTAATTTGAAATTTCCTTGTTACAACTCCGTTAGGGAGCTGCTCTCCACAGGTCCTAGTGGGGTTATTCTGAGCACAGATGATTACTTTACCCAGAAGAACGGCTGCCGCTATGATGTGAGGCTTCTTGGAGCGGCACATGAATGGAACCAGAGCAGAGGTAAAACCAACATACTCATTCAGGTTCATATTATTAGATGTATGTAGCAATCACTGTTAGTCTTCAACTGTTGCAGTGTTTTTTTTTTAAGTTGTCGCACAAGTTTTGACATTTTCCACAAAGCTTGTTTTTAATATTTGAAATGTATCTTTATTGGTGACTTTTTTTGTGTGTCTGTGTGCCAGCTAAAGATGCCATACAAGGTGGTCGCTCTCCCGTTATAATTGACAACACAAACCTCCAAGCCTGGGAAATGAAGCCATATGTCAAAATGGTGAGGACTTAAAGTATTTTTATTCATGGTAAAACAACGTTTAGGATCAACCGAGTGTTGAATAATCTTGTTGCAGTAGCTACTATAAGCAGAGTGTAGAAAGGCAGCAAGTTAAAAAAGTTGTTTATTAATTGGAAATCCTGCCAGCAGACATAAAAATCAGCAATGATGAGAGTCAAACTATGATCACTGTTTATGGGTGAGTCATAGTTTCTCCATAACTGCAGCTTTGGGACGTTTCTGACACACGGCGTTCAGAGTGTTTTGGATGCTGTCCAAGGAAGAAAAACTGACCCAGTGACAGAATGATGGGCTGTCGACTGGACTTTAGAGCAACAGTGTGCCCTCGCATTAAACAGTACTTTGCAGTCAGAGAATGATAGCATGTAATACTTTTATTTTACTCCATTTACAAAACTGTGAGGAGAACATGGTGGTGGTCATGATGTGTGTAAAAAGGAGCACATGAATTTAATTATACACAGAAAATTAACCTTGCAGATAACAAATGTAACGAGATTAAATCAAATATTTGATAAAAGGCTTGTTAAAATGCTGATGCTGAGAGGGGCACCGGTTCTGGTTTTATGGCCAATAGCTCTGACCTGCTGATTCAGATTTTGTTGTAGTGAACTAACCCATATAAAGTCATACAAGTTCAAGATAATGAATAAGAAATGCTGTTTATATAACATACAAATATGTTAACTTGATAAATGAAAAGTGGTTTGTAATTGAGAAGTGGTTCTCAAACAGTTTACCTGGATAAATAAAGGTTAAATAAATAAATAAAATTAATAAAAAATAAGAAACAGCTATTTTTATTATTGTTCCAGTTGTCAAATAATATAGTTGATCAGTGTATAATGTATCACACCTCTTTATAAATTATATTTTTTGTACCTACTTAATTATTATTTATTAATTTATTTATTTTATTTTTATTTTTTTGTCAGGCGTTAGAGAGAGGATACAGAGTGGATTTTTGTGAGCCTGACACCAGCTGGAAGTTTGATCCATACGAGCTGGAGATGTACGTTTTTTATCGATATACCGTATTAGCATACATTTATAAAACTTGGAAATACTTCATCTGCTAACATGACTTCCCTGCAATCATTTCGCTCCAGGCGGAACAAACACGGTGTTTCTCATGAGAAGATCATACAGATGATGGATCGTTTCTCAGCTCTCGTTTCTGTAGACATCGTCATGAACTCACAGGAGCCAGCTCATGTGAAAGAGAGTCGTCGAGCAGAGCAGCCGCACATCAGGAAAACTTAATTTGTTTTTCTTTTGTTTGATTAAAAAGTTTAACCAAATAATTGTTCTTGAAGATCAACACATTTTTACTTATGTAAAAAGAACGGGTGTTAATACACAGATTTAATTTATTATTTTACGTTTTGTAAATTTATATGAGAAGAACGTTTTCTAAGACGGTCACTTTTTGACCATTATTGCTTAAAAAGCATACAAATTTTTTTTGCTTTTGATTGTAATGACTGATGTTTAAAAGGTTTTTGTACATTCTTGTATGCAACTAGATTAAAAATCAAAAGGTTCTCTTTTCATATATGTCATGTACACACTTATTCAGTCGCCTACAAGTAAGTTCTGCCAATTTCAAACTTTTGTAGATTTCCAGAAAAAAATTAAAAATCTGTTTCAAAGCCTTTTGGCACGACAAATTGTTTGTTTTCTTATCAAAAAAATGTTTACTGTCGGTGCCTTAAAAGGCAGGTTCTAAGTGGCAAAATCTATATGTATAACCACACTATTTAGATAAGAAAATTGGAATAATATAGTCAAAGCTCCATTTTCAGTCACTGAAGACGAGAAATACTGAAAGAGGTTTCTTATTTTCATTCTTTAAATATTCTCATACCAGCCATTAGGACATACTGTAACTCACTAATGGTTTTCAGTGCAGCCGATGAGAAGGTCAAGCCTCAGTTGTTGACGTGCACATGTAACCATGAGGTCTCAGCTGCTTGACAATCAAACAGATTTTCACTGATTTTATTACTGTTACCAGTGTTGGTGAAAGGAAATCATCAGATGAATGGAAAAAAAAAGACAATTTTTTTCCCCATTACTGAGTGATGTGTTGACCTTTAAAATCTGAACTCGTTTCTGATTGTGGTACAGTGTGTAAGTGAAGGAATAAAAGGGACACTGGCAATTTAAAATATTCATGACCCCGGTAAACAGAATTGCTCATTAAAGCAGGTGGTGAAAGTCGTGTGAACCCACTTTACCTGCAACAAAGCGCTCCTACAACATGGAACGATGACACAAATAGGCTTTTTTTTTTTTTTTGGTCTGAAGTATGGATTACTGCATCTCAGGAAATGACTTCTTGTCCTTTCATTTCCCCCGGTGCTCATTAAAGCGGCACACAGGTGCTGTTTGGTTGACTTTTTTTTCCCCCTTAATCAGTGCTGTGTGGAGGGTTGAGGAGGATTTTTCTCTGAACTCATGACTGTTGGATGTGACTGGGGATTTTTGTTGCTTTATTTTCAAGTAAATTCTATGATGGTAGGCACTTTTTATGAATGGTTTCTGTGGATTTTAAGATGAGTTCCTCTTTTTCTGATAGATCTGGGCCACCATTCCTGTTCTCACGCATCGGGCTGAAACAGCACTCTGACACATGGAGGCACAAAAAAATATATATATTTTTTTTATCAAAGTATGTGCTTTTATTTCCCTTAATAGGACAAAATCAGTCAAATATGAACTTAAAAACAAATGGAGGGGCACAAAGTTCACTTCACGAATTAAAATACTTAGTGCATTTATTTTTACTCAGATATTTAGGCCATGCACTATCTAGTTGCACTTCATTCATTTGGTTAGTAAAGTGGCAAAAGCATAAAAAACATGATCCTTCCGCAGGAACATTATTTATCCTGAAATGTTTTTTTTCCTCCAAGGTTACTGATTAGATCTGCCTCAACATAAAGCGTGCTATTTATAAACCGGGAGAATTTTTTTCGTCCATACCTCACTGTAAATCTAATGCAACATGCAATAACTTCATTAAATAGAGACCACCCTTATATTTCCCCAGACAATAATGGCAGCTGCTTCCCTTCATGCAAGACCTTGATAAAGCTTTACATGAGCAGGAAAACTCATTACTCAAACTAATGATAACTGCTTCAAGAAAGATAAGATAAGAAAGACCTTTACTGTCATTGCACAGAGCACAATGAAATTACAGTTCAGAACACCCATTCAGAAGAAGACAGAACACAACAAACATGGGAGAACAGGTGCCCTGGGTGATGCAGCCACTGACCCTTCACAGAGCAAGGATCATCATCATGAAGACATCATGAGATGGTGCAACCCTTAAAAGAAAAAAAAAAAAAACTAAAAACCACGCAAGGGGAGATGAGGGGAAAAAACATCATATCAACACTGACACTATGGTGTTTACAAAAAACCTCTGCGTAGAGCACATTTATTAGCCAGAGAAGTACAGGTGCTGGTCATAAAATTAGAATATCATGAAAAAGTAGATTTATTTCAGTAATTCCATTTAAAAAGTGAAACTTGTATATTATATTCATACATTACATACAAACTCATATATTTCAAATGTTTATTTCATTTAATTTTGATGATTACAAATGACAACAAATGAAAATCTCAAATTCAGCATATCAGAAAATTAGAATATTACTGAAGACCAATAAAAACAAAGGATTTATAGAAATGTTGGCCAACTGAAAAGTATGAACATGAAAAGTATGAGCATGTACAGCACTCAGTATTTAGTTGGGGCTCCTTTGGCCTGTATTACTGCAGCAATGCGGCGTGGCATGGAGTCGATCAGTCTGTGGCACTGCTCAGGTGTTATGATAGCCCAGGTTGCTCTAATAGTGGCTTTTAGCTCTTCTGAATTGTTGGGTCTGGTGTATTGCATCTTCTTCTTCACAATACCCCATAGATTTTCTATGGGGTTAAGGTCAGGAGAGTTTGCTGGCCAATTAAGAACAGGGATACCATGGTCCTTCAACCAGGTACTGGTAGCTTTGGCACTGTGTGCAGGTGCCAAGTCCTGTTGGAAAATGAAATCTGCATCTCCAAAAAGTTGGTCAGCAGCAGGAAGCATGAAGTGCTCTAAAACTTCCTGGTATGTGGCTGCGTTGACCCTGGACCTCAGAAAACACAATGGACCAACACCAGCAGATGACATGGCACCCCAAACCATCACTGACTGTGGAAACTTTACACTGGACTTCAAGCAACGTGGATGAAGTGCCTCTCTTCTTTTCCTCCAGACTCTGGGACCTTGATTTCCAAAGGAAATGCAAATTACTTTCATCAGAGAACATGACTTTGGACCACTCACCAGCAGTCCAGTCCTGTTTCTCTGTAGCCCAGGCAAGACGCTTCTGACGCTGTCTGTGGTTCAAGAGTGGCTTGACACAAGGAATGCGACAGCAGAAACCCATGTCTTTCATACGTCTGTGTGTCGTGGTTCTTGAAGCACTCACTCCAGCTGCAGTCCACTCTTTGTGAATCTCCCCCACATTTTTGAATGGGTTTTGTTTCACAATCCTCTCCAGGGTGCGGTTATCTCTCTTGCTTGTACATTTTTTTCGACCACATCTTTTCCTTCCCTTCGCCTCTCTATTAATGTTTTTGGACACAGAGCTCTGTGAACAGCCAGCCTCTTTAGCGATAACCTTTTGTGTCTTGCCCTCCTTGTGCAAGGTGTCGATGGTCGTCTATTGGACAACTGTCAAGTCAGCAGTCTTCCCCATGATTGTGTAGCCTATAGAACTAGACTGAAAGACCATTTAAAGGCCTTTGCAGGTGGTTTGAGTTMATTAGCTGATTAGAGTGTGGTACCAGGTGCCATCCATTTTGAACCTTTTCACAAGATTCTAATTTTCTGATATGCTGAATTTGAGATTTTCATTTGTTGTCATTTGTAATCATCAAAATTAAACGAAATAAACATTTGAAATATATGAGTTTGTATGTAATGTATGAATATACAAGTTTCACTTTTTAAATGGAATTACTGAAATAAATCTACTTTTTCATGATATTCTAATTTTATGACCAGCACCTGTAAGTGAGTTTAGGGGGGCGTGTATCTGAAGCCATGATTGTTGAATGCACTTGTGTGAAAATCTGAAAAATGAGCCCAAAGAATCGAGTCCCGAAAACCCACGCAGCCATAGTCCAGAATATGGATGTTAAGTGTTCATTCTGTGCGGTCCTCAGCTTGCTCCAGGAACCAGATCACGGACGGGTCTGTGTGTGTGTGGGGGGGGGTGGGGGGCAGACCCTCAGTCGACGTATACATCCAGGAAGAATTTAGTCCACAGCTCAAGGCCATGTAGGAGAGCCAGCTTCTCTAATCAGTTATTTGGGAACAGAAGAAAATGTTTTGAGCCAAGCAGACAATAACAATTTTCCATCTGCCTTCATGCCCGCTGGTACCTCTCAATGTGGCAAATCCAATCAGATAAATAATGTGGACAAATTCTTCTGAGCCGTACTATCAGTTTTCTCCAAGATCATCAATTCCATCTGGCCAGCAAAGTCCAGGAACCACAGCCGGCCCGCGACTCTCAGCAGAACCGCTTGCAGACTGAGTCCAGCTCGCTCAAGGCAAAAGTCTGAGTGCTGATAGAACGGCAATTCTTCATAAAGGTCAGGCAGCCAGGAAATGAACAGCCACCGATGCTTTTTGTAGAACACCAGGAGACCACTATATCTGTAGAATCCAGTGATCAGAATCCAATATATATCCAGAACAGAGCAGAACAGAGGTCCCACCTTTGACATGTCGTCCCATGGAAGAAAACTTTGCTCCAAAAAATTTATTGAGACCAGCTAACCAGAAAGCTTTGTTTTGCAGGAAAACATCCCTCTGAAGTTGATTACATTTAACCACATCTGTGAGAAATGTGACTTTACAGAAAACTAAAAACTTTTGATTTTATTTTTCTCAAAATTAAAGAACAAGCATCTGCACAGTGAAACTGGTTATCAATCATTCGTGAGCCAAGCTTTTATGACCTTTTCAGAAGCATATTTCTATTTTTAGAACTAAATTTAACTTCTGGTAATTTACAAACATCAACATGAACGAATGGGTTTCTTTTCTTACTCTTCAACATTTTTGACACCATCAATACTTTTACAGGGTCAACATATGGTACAAACTGGGGGGGGAAKTGTGAATGTGATGGCAGCAACACGTCTCCAAAAGAGATGTGGGAAGGAGCTGCAAAAGGAAGTGGTATAAAATGAACTTGGGCAATGTGGACAATTATATTCAATGTTGTTTATTTAAATAGCTCCAAGTCACAACAAATGTTGTCTCATGACTCTGTACAAATCACAAAAAAAGAAAAAAATTAAGAAAGCCAGCAAATTGTATTGAACCTACACTTTATCACAGTCTTCCATCCTGAGCAGCACATTGGCAGCAGTGGAGAGAAAAACTCTTTAACAGAAAGAAACCTCCAAACCAGACACAGCGCGACCATCTGCCTTGACCATTTGGGTTTGAGAGGACAGGAAAGAGACATACACAAACACAAATGGACCATTCTATTTGGATTTGGAAGAATTTGGAATTGTTTGGAAAACCCAACACTATACTGAACAGGAGAGGAACCATCAGCGTACAGATCAAAAGTCAGCCTCTCTAACAGTATGGGGGTGCATTAGTATACCCAGGTTTTAGAACAATGTGGAATTCTACTTTGTTGCATGTTAGGTCAGCTCTCATATGTTGGCACTGCCCACGGTGTGTTGACTCAGACAGAAATCTACCAGCAAGAGTCCCCGGTCCTTTTTACAACACCGGCACAATATGCAGCTCCAAAACAGGAAGGGATTTATTGTGAAGGGATTAAATGAGCCTGTTGTTTCCTGGCATCATAAAAATATTTAAGGATTAAACATTGAACTCAAAGTTTATAGGATTTTCTTACATCTCAGTACTTTGCTATTAAAGTTAGTTTTACAAACAAAGGTTAAAAGATCAGTATAAATGGTATTACTTATTTTGCTCTAATTGTCTGCATCGCTGTTTTCACGAAGCGAAAGAGCCATTTAGATTGTATATTTTTTCCTTTTTTATCTTACTGTTGCCTCACGACAATTTGAGACCTTGAAAACAAACAGACAGTAGGATGTCGACCATTAAACGGGCTTATGATCACACAGGCCTGACGGATCTCCACAAGGGAAACACCTGTGTTTTCTGTGTCTGTGTGACTTTTGTTTTTACGATCCGTTTGCCAACACCATATGTGTGGGAAACACATATATTCGCCAGGTGAAATGTGGTTTGTGATGTGAGGAAGCCTGCAGCAGCACATGGCAGGCGTGCTTAGAATGATGATTATGTAAGACAGCTGTGATTAGTGATTTGTGCTCTCTGAAAGGCAGTGATGAACCACTTACTGCTGATAATCATCAGAAAAGAAGAAGAAGAAAAAAACTAATCACAATAGGCACACTAGAGTATAATAAAAACTAGATGAGGGAGGGTACTTTTGATTTCCCACTGGGAAAAAACAATGGGTTAAAAGCAAGTTTATTTTACTTCATTTTAATATTCTGCTCATGCACAGGATCCTTTTGTGGAAGAGCAGGATGAACAGGAAACACTCTTTTATACTTGGTGCTAATGAGAACCTCCAAACAAGGAATTTTTAGATCAAAGATAAAATTAAATTGTTACCAGTTCCAGGGAAATCATTTGAGTCGTTAGGTTTTCAGGTTGTGGTTTCATCCTGCTGCCATCTTTAGCAAACTTCATTAGGGCTGATGGAAAAAGGGAGCTGAAGCATGAAATTAAAGCTGTCAAGGGGCCAATTCAGTGTTTGTTGTACAGGCTTGTCACGTGACGCTGGCAGCCAATGAGAACCGTGTGCTGCGACCGCACAGCGTGTCTTTTATGTACACACCAACGACCTACAGACGGTTCAAGTTACACACACCAGGACCGGAAATAAGCGTTTCTGGGCTTCAAAATAAAATCCGAAAAATAACCTGGGTGGAGTAGAAAATGCATTGTGATGTAATATTTAGGAGAAGACCATAGGGCTTGAGGTTTGACAGACTTTAAATGTGATTTATAGAACTTATATCAAATTTCCAATAAAGAAATTGACATTGTTAAAAAGTAAAAGTCCTGCTTAAAAATCCACCTTCAGTAAATCATCAATAAGTCCTCCTGACTGATTGATGTATTTATATAATCGATGATGTATCAGTACAAGTGGATTCTTACTGAAGGTGTTCGTTCATATTTTAACTCTTTTTTTTTCCTTACAAAGGTGATATGAGGTGATTATTAGGAGAGGAAACAGGAAAATGTTCAGTTTTACCTGGAGTCTCTAAATCTTAAAGTTTTAATTGGAATGCATATAATAAATAAAAAAATAATTGATAATATAATTATATAATAATAAAATAAAATCACTGTATAGTAGAGTTTCTGTACATCAGACTTGGTTTTTTGTCAATTTTAGACCCATGAAAATGTGCTAAAGGACAAAAATCATTCATACAAAAACTGTATTTGCTGGTTAACGCTGTTGATCAAATCTATATAATAGAACAGAGGTGTCAAAGTCATTTTTGTTTAAAAAGGACCACATGATAATTCTGGTGGTGTGGCCCTCAAAGGGCCACTTGTAATTAACTTTGACATTTTGTGTTTAATTTGACTAAACACAAAATGTCGCTTTCCTCGTCTCATTATTATGGCTGAGCACAGCTACAGCTACAATCAATAGGTGAGCTCTATGTAGTATTCTGTGCACAGAAACAACATTTTAACATGTTCTCTCGTAAACACTGAAGTAGTCTGTGACACTGCAGCAAAATGGAGTTTCTACGCAGCAAATTTCACTGGTTGCAGCTATTTTTGAACTCTGTACTCCTTGTGATGGGAAGTCATCATTTTTGTAGAGGAAATAATCTATGCATTATGGGAGATGTAGTTTATGGTCAATGCCGACTTTAAAGCAACATAAAATTATTTAAAGATATTAGTGCATCTTTTATGCCCTTGGGGGCCACATAAAATGCAGTAGCAGGCAACATTTGGCTCGCGGGCCTCGAGTTTGACACCAAATGTCCCAAGTAATGTAACTACAGTTTTACAAATTCACACAAAACATTTAAGCTTTTTTGATGTGTCTCTAATGCATGCTTCTTTTTTTTTTTTATCTAGGTAGGGTGTTTTCTGTGCTCATTGTTGGCAACCATTTCGTTTTTGGCCTACTTTTATTTTGAAGCGTTCAACCGGAAGCCCCGCCGCGCACGCTCACCACCTGGACAGATGATATGGACATGATGCCGTGCTGCAGTTACGCTTCGGGCGCTCACACACACACACACACACACACACACACATGGGAGGGGGAGTTTTTTAGATCTCAGCTCCCTCCATCCGTCCTCCCCATGTCGGCGAGACGGCTGCCGGTTTGTCCGTGACCAACACCCGCCTCTGGTCCTCCTGCCAGCCAGCCCCATCATGTAGATCCAGCTCATGTTCCAAAGAGGGAAGTTGAACTCCGGCGGCGACCTGAGAGGAGACAGGGGCGGATAAATACATCACAAAGGTAAGGGTTTTACCTTTTGTAAGGGGATACATTTTCAGAAAGAGATGTGCAGATATTGACAAAGTAGTCCCAGCACTTATTATAGTGGATAAATGGAATTTAAATAAGGTTAAATTCTATTCGGAGAGCGTGGGGTTTAATCCTGGGTTAGGATGGGAAACCTTATTAGAAACTTTGATGGGACATGAAGTAGACCCACACAGAGAACCTGACCTCTGTGTTCACCTGTCTCCTTCAGCCCATCAGAGCTCTCTGCCACAGTTATGGGGGCTCTCAAAAATAATTTGGGCTTTAGGATAATAATTATCAGTGATGCACTGATTAAACTGAGAACTAAATGATCATTTTTGAATTTACGTAAATGTGCAAAAGAACAAAACAATGACCGATGATCAATCAAGTGTCCTCCCACTTTTTCATCAACAAATCGATGTGTCATGCATTGCATCTGTCCCCGGATTTAATTTTAGCTGCGAATGTCAGTCAGAAGCAGTGCTGTAGCCTTCCCAGCTGCTGGTTATATAATGTCAGCTGAGGACCGCTTTATACTGAGCTAAGAGGGGGGAAACTTAAATTGCAACCCAGATAATGATGTGATCAAGGTGGTTGTGGATCTCTGAGCTCCTCCAGAGTTCCCAACTGATTTTTAAATGAAATTTTTGGATTGATGCTCTCCCTGCCCGGAGGTTTTACTTCCACTTGGACAATGCAGATAATCCAAAACTAGGTCAGGGATGCTGCATATAGACCAGCCTCTTAATGCACAGCAAAGCTCTGGCAATCAGTTTGTAGTAAAATTTCATATTTTAATGTCAGGTTAGCCTTTGCTGTAGACATTTGTGATTATTACACTCCTTGACAAATATCACATGGATGTGTGTTTTGGAGAGGTGGAGGGGAAACGTGTGACGGGTTTAATTCTGGTTAACCTTATCAGGAAAGTGCAGTGGAGTGTTATGTGATTCATTAGACTGCAGGACTGGGCTTCGGATTAATTAATCAGAATTTATTCAATGACAGATTTCAATTGAGCTAAATGGGCCATGTTGGTTCTTTCAAAACTTCAGCTTGAAGAGACTGAAAAAACTAAATGACGATATTAAAAGATGGATTGATTTCAGGATACTATTTTTTCATGTTTTTTAAAGAATGACCCTATACAGGCTTAAAATATCTTCCTACTGGTAAGATACTGGTAAGGTTCCTACGGGTCCTTGAAATACTTGAAAGTTTGTGAATTTGAAAAAAAAGATTTCAAGGCCCTGGAAAGTTTGTGAAAACAGCCACAAATTACACTTGTCCTTGAAAGGTCCTTGAATTTGATGTTGACCAAGGTGTGGGAACCCTGACTTTTACTCAAGTATCACTTTGTGGTACTTCATACAAAACTGTCTTCTTACAACAGCCATCCATTAAGCCTTAATTAAAAATCCATGCACTGATTCTGAGAATCGATAGTCAGGAAATAAAACATTGGTATATTTCTGTGTATTGATATTTTCTTACACCCCTAAATACTACAGGGGGAAAAATATAACTAAAGTTCTAAATTTGGTGTTTTTCATCGTGTTCCTCTTGCTGCAAGTCTTCTGGAGTACTGTATGTCTCAAGCAGATTTGCACAGGCTGAATGTTTTCGCTCATTAAAGCTCAGTAATATTGGATGGACAGCAGTTTTTTTAGTCTGAAGGGCAGGGAACATCTAAAACCTGCAGGATAAGACTGGACACCAATGATTTAAAATTTCTATTGCATCTTTGGTTGTTTGTTTCAGGTCAATGTTTTTGCTGAAAGGTCAATCTTTGCCTCAGTCTCAAGTCTTCTGGAGACACTTTTCTGTTTAGTTTTACATCAATTGCTTCCTCTGAGTATTTCATTTATTTATTTATTTTTTTGCCTAAAGTTGAAATGTAACCTTTTCTGCAGTATTAACCATAAATAAATACTTCTATGTGCCAAGCAGCTGGGGGGCACCACAGCAGCAGCTCTGTAGGAGCTCAGGGCTGCATCCTAATAAAGTCAGTGGACTGCAGTGGGAGCTGTGAAAAACACAAAGAAGCTCAGTTACATAATTCCTGAAATTCTCAGCATAGGGGTTAGGAGAGTATGTTGTGCTGTGGGAACAAAACTATTTCAGTGGCGGTCTCAGTTGAAGCTGTAAAAGCTGTGATGCTGTCGGATAAGTCAGACTGCCAGAACTGACCAGAATGTGTCTGTGTCAGTCCTCAATCAGAATCTCAGATGAAAGTAGAGCCTGAGCTGAGGCTGAATTTACCCACTGAAAGACAGATGCAGCTAGATTTGTTGGTATCCTTCCAGGATTAAATAAATAAAATAAAATAAAATAAAATAACACCCTGCTGATACGACTGGTCAAAATGCTTGTTGTGTTTTATTTCATCAGTACCAGAACCTTTGGTGCTTGTCAGTAGAGCTGGGCGGTATGACCAAAATTTTATATCATGGTATTTTCAACATTTACACCGGTTTCACGGTATATCACGTTATTTTTCTTTTCATCACAGGTCGGCTGAAAATAAAATGTACAAACACTGCTTATTGACTTTTTTCTTTTACTGTACCTCTGTCTGTGTCTCTGTTTCCCTCCTCTAAACATCTTTTCTCTGACTGGTGGTTGGAGACTGTAATCTCGCATTTTGGTCCAGTCATGAAGGAGGAGGGTTAAGAAAAGCTTATGATCGGGTTTATTGTTTTATGTTATTTATTAAAGCTTATCAGCACGACTCACCTTGCTCACCAGTCAATTGCAATTCTACTACAAACTACTTCCCCCCGGGCTTTTCACAATAGAACCACGTTAAGTCTCCATCAGCATAATGTCTCCATATTAACTAACCTCGCGTTAAATCTAACCATACACATCACTGAAAATGTGTTTACTACATTCACCGATGGTGAAAATGGGATGTTTTTTAACGTCAGTCAATATAAGTAGCGGACTCGCCACCCACCGCTGCAACAAACTGCTCAACAATAACATTAGCATGCTAACGCACATAGTGGTGCTGCGAGGAAAAGTGTCCCCCGGGAAACAGTTCACTGGTGGCTGCAACGAAACGGTCTGCACGTTTTCAGGCTATTTAAACCGGTATGTCCGGTATTCAGAAAATTCATATCATGACAAAAATAAAAACCGGTATTTGGTACAAAACGGTATACCGCCCAGCACTACTTGTCAGCGTATGTTTTGGCAAATTCCTGTCTGCCTTTTTTTTTCTGTGTGTTTCTCTGCCAAAAATGGAGCCCTCCTTGATCTTCTTCCTTGAAGCTCATTATGATTCAAAATGTAACAGTTGGAATGATGATAAAGTGACTTACCTTGACCTTGAAGTTCAGCTTGCATGGGTTTCATTGGCTTTTTTTCCCCCTTTTTTTTTTCATCCACACTATCTGTCTTTTCAACCTGCATTTCCTCGTGGGAGGTTGGCTAGAACATTATGACTGTTATATTTTTAAAAGATATTGGCAACAGTCGGTACAGGAACTTGAAGCTGCTTGGAGATGGTCTTGTTGTTTTCATCTTTAACGCAGATATCTGTAATTTTGTTGGAGTTCCTGTGACAGCTATAATGATACCAAACTAACCCAGTGGCACATTTGTTCTCTCTCTTTATTTATAAAACATGCTATATCTACTTGCACTGTTGTAAACTATTGTTTTCTACCAAAATCATCAGAAAGTACAATTTCATTCATCACATTTTGTTGAAATAACGTATAAACATTTTCTGCAAAACTAACTCCCTATGTCCACATTTGTGGACATAAAGTTTAGCAGGATGGTAAATCATTACATTTACAAACTTTTGTAAAATTTGACCTCCATAACAAACATTGAACACTTAAGAAAATACCTGAACAAGAATCAGTCATGAAATTTACCTGAATTTTTTTTACCTGAGTGAATTTTGTATCAAGAGTTGCCATCTGAATTTCTGGATGTGTTGGCAGCCATCCTGAATCTAACCTGTAATGTGCTATACTATTCTGACACCACTAAGAGGCAGTATATAGTCCTCATGTGTGGACGCCAGAACCTTAAAGTGTAAAATTTTGTATTGTGGTCTAGACCACCCAAAATGTGTTGTCCACATATGTGGATGCAGGGTCCTAGGAGGTTAAACAAGTTGAATGGCTGATAAAAACTTGAAGGCACCCGTAATACTAATTAGGGTCAACCGGTTTCAGACATAAGTATAATGCAAAACTGGATAGTCTCTTTTAGTATACCAGTACTGCAACCTGGAAAGACTCACACCAAGACTGACTGAAATTAGGAGTTGTAATGACATGAATGAATTAGCAGGGTTTATTGACATGAATGAAATTATTAGAATAGAAATAGCCTTTACTGTCCTGCCGAGGGGGAATTTAGGTGTCACAGCAGCATCTGTACAGACGTTCACATGCTAGTTATTTTACAAACTATAGATAGTGCACACAAAACATTCGTTTATTATAGTTTGGTGCTTGGACCCTGGCAGAGGATGTGAATGCCGTCAAGACTCCACATCTCTCCAGACTAGTTAGCTCCATCTCAATCTGGCATTTTTTCTGTAGTTGGGTTGCAGAGGACACAGGTCTAGGAGAGAAACCCAAACATCCTCCCCAGCGACACTTTCCCAAAAGTCCTGGGTCTTCCTCGGGGCCCTCTACCAGCGTAACGTGCCTGGAACACCTCAAGAGAGGCTTCTAGGAGGCATCCGATGAACCTCAACTGACTCCTTTCGATGCGGAGGAGCAGCGACTCTATGCCGAGCTCACGCCTGATGACAGATCCTCACCCAGTGAGGGCTTATCCCGGCCACCCTACGAAGGAAAGCTCATTTTGGTCGCTTGTTTCTGGTATCTTGTTCTTTTGGTCATGACTCATGATCCACGTCTCAAGACCGTAGTTCAAACATAGACAGACCAGTAAATCGACCACGACCAACCGAAGCAACGCCCTCATTACTGAGGATGAAACCCCAATCTGTCAATCCATCTCCCGCTCTATCCTACCATCACCCACATACAAGACACCCAGATACTATTTAGCATATCATTGTAAAATAAACAGCAAATCATTCTTGTAAATTTTCTTTTTAGTCTATCACATTTAACTGAATCAATTTCATGAGAAATGAAGCATCCTTTTAGTGATCTGTACTTGTTCTAACAAATATATTCATTTTCATAAAGCCCGAGCAGCCCAGCACTTACCTGTGGTGGTAATTTTAATACATGAAATCATTTAGAGAGAAATAAACCATAATGTCCACTTTGGATTCTGCTGTTGATGATTTATTCGCTGACCTTTTAGCTGCAGTTTTACTGTAAAAATTAGCTGTCGTGGAAACATGATGACATGTCCATGTTCGTAATGAGTACGTGTTCGGCTGGAGGGCAGAGGCTGCAGGTACTTGGTTGAAGCACACACAGCGGAGGGTTTGGCATTAAATTATCACTGCAGCCTGACACACGTTTCAGTGTGTCTGCTGAACCTTGTTGGATTTTAACAAGCGTGTGGTGAGAAGCAGCACTGCGGAGTTCATATTGTACGTTTCGTGCCTTCTCCACTGCTGCTCCTAAAATGTGGAACAAGCTGCCTTTGGGCGTCAGACAGGCCACGTCCCTGTCGGCTTTTAAAACGCTACTAAAAAACCCATCTCATCTCTTTGGCTTTTGGCACCATCTGAGATATTGACTTTTAATTTGTTTTGAGATTATTTTAATTAGTTTGTGTGCTTGTTTTATTGTATCGTTTTAATTTTTGGATTTGACTTATATTATGTACTGTGACTGTTGTGTGTTTTATTGACTGTGACTGTACAGCACTTTGGTCCTATGGTTGTTTAAGTGCTTTGTAATTAAAGTTGATGTGGTATGGTTTTTCTACCCAGAAAAAAAAATTGAGAAATGAGTTGGTGGACTGATAGATTGTCTCCCTCCCACTGCAGCCACAATGCTGTGAGCCTGCATGAGGCAGCCTGGATGAACATGATGGAGGAGGCTGCCTGTCAACTGGAGAGAGACCACGTGCACAGCGTCTACGACAAGATCGCTCCATATTTCAACGACAGCCGCTATAAAGCCTGGCCCAAAGTGCAACAGTTCCTGCTGGACCTGCCGCCTGGCAGCATAGTCGCTGATATTGGTGGGTTTCATTTCCTGACGTGTTTTTCTGTTGCTTTCTGTTTTAAATAAAAAAAAGTTCATTTGAAATAGGTTTTCCATATGTAAATAATTTTTTATTTGTGTTGTTCAGATTTTCACTTTTGTTGCTGATTGTTTTGTCCTCGGCAGGCTGCGGCAATGGCAAGTATCTTCACATCAACAAGGAAGTGTTCAAGCTGGGGTGCGATGTTTGTCGCCCCCTGGTGGACTTTGCTTGGAGCCAAGGACACGAGGTGCAGATGTGCAACGGGCTGCACTTGCCTTACAGAGATGGCTGCTTCGATGCTGTGCTCTCCATCGCAGGTAACGGGGGGCTGCTGCACACCCCCTTCATGTGCATGACAGGGTTCCTGCATATCCTTAAAAAGTCTTAAAAGGCATTGAATTCATCAATCCAAAAATAAGGCCTTAATTATCCTTAAATGTCTTAAATCAATCTTTCAGAAGTCTTAAAAATGTTAACACATTGTAAATAGGATGATTATAGTTCATTTCAAATATTAAAATAATTGGTAAAAAACAATTATTTTTAAATATTCACATGCAGTCATTCCCCTTTGACATCACTTCCTGTTACTTCACATGCAAATATCTCAACAACTGTTCATCTGGGCAACGTGAAATTCATTTTGTAATATGTTAATGTTGTCTTTACAAAAATGCATTCACTTTTCTTACAAAAAACTGATGTCACGGGCACTTTAAGGTTTCGTCTGCAGCAAACTGGGGTTAAGACCCCACTGTGGGTCCTAAAAACTCCAAATTTTGGGTTGTTAGAGGATTTCCTGAAATTAAATTAAGTTTAAAACTGACTGCTAAAAGCGTTTCTGCTATAGGTAGATATGGATAAAAACATTTGCTCTATCAGCAATATTTGAATACTTCAACCAAATATACTTTGATTCATGAGTTTCTACCAGTTTTTACTTTTTTGTAATTTGTATTTACTAAGAAATTGGTCTTAAATTTAATTTCACTTGGTGTAAAAAAGTATTAAATTCATCTTGCTTTAAACTGTAGGAACCCTGCACAAACTCAACAGCTGCAGGAGCCATTTGTTCAGAATCAGATCAATCAATTTACCACATCTTGTGTTGCCTGTAAATGAACTCCTGTGTCTTAAAGCTAGAGTGCAATTAAGCTTAAATAGAAGCAGTCACCCACACATTCATTTATCCCATATGTACACAATGTGTTTTGTTTCTTATAAATGCTAATTGCGACACATCATGAAAAAATAGTCACTTTGCCTTATTCTGAAAAAGATATGTATATTTTCCTCGCAGTCATTCATCACTTTTCCACCAAAGAACGACGCATTCGAGCAATAAAGGAGATGGCTCGTACTCTGCGGGTGGGCGGCCACATTATGATTTACGTATGGGCCATGGAGCAGAAGCGGCGCAAATTTGAGAAACAGGACATCTTTGTTCCCTGGAACCCCCACCCTCATTCGCCCTCCGGTGTCAGCAGAGAAGATGTCAAGCCCAGAAGACGAGCCACGACACAGAGTGTGAGCGAAGCCATAGATAACGCCGACAAGCACAGGAAGTTTAGAAGCACATCCTCTGTGGCTGATGAAGAAGATCTGCCCAGCCCCATGCCGCAGAAGAGGATGCAGAGACTGTGGTTCTTCTCCAGGTCTCTGGATTCAGTCTTTGACTTCGGGAGCTTGGCCATCTCCTGGCCATCCTCCAGGGACCTGCAGTGTTTATCTTCACCCACAGGGGAAAACGAGGGGAACAAGTCCAACCTACGCAGAAGAGGACGAGGCCTCATCAAGCAAGTCTCGAGCTTCTTCTCCCCTCCGTCTGTGATCGGCTCAGAGGAGGACGTCTTTGACCCGGTCACAGAACTGCACAAGGAACCAAATGACTCTGGAAGCACTGACAGCACTGTTAGAAACAACAGCACAGAAAAACAAGACCTCTCAGTATCTTTAGCCCAGGAGTGTGGCTCGCTTGCTTTGCCTGATCTAATTTCTTTGCAGAAAGAGTCTGAAGGCGAAAGAGATGAGGGGTCTCAGGGAGAGGAGCAGCAGGTAAGCACACAGGGTCCTCAGGGGGGTGAAGGGTGGATGGAAGCCTCCTGTCTGAGGTACTATCATGTCTTCAGAGAGGGAGAACTAGCAGAGCTCATAGAGCATAATGTTGAAGAGCTCCGTGTGAAACACGCCTACTTTGACCATTCCAACTGGTGCGTAGTGGCCGAAAAAATTCACTTATGGAAAATTTGATTTTACCTTGTATTTTGCCAAAGTTTTTGCACTGAACCATTTATTTAAAGTAATACATTTTTGTAGGAAAAAAAGGTGTATAAACGTGCACCTGTAGTCACTGCTGAGGGTAAAGTTAACCCTAATTTTAGCCACTGGTCCAGTTCTTTTGATTTTCGATTTCTAAGTGGTCTTAAACTTGTCTGTCTATCAGAACCTGCACTGTTTTAGATTCATTTATGGAACTATTTGATCTAATATTGCATTGTGCAGATATTACTTTTTTTGTAGTAAATCACATTTTTAAGTATTTCATTTAAAACATGAGTACACAAAGCACTGTTCTAATGACTTATGGTTACGTTTATTCGATTTAGTATGCTTAATTGCTGCCATTGATGTGAACCATTTTAAAAGGACTTGTATACAAAAGGATGTGTTGATATTTTCTTTTTAAACCTATTAGCGGGACTAAAGTTCAGATTTCCGTCTGCTTTGAGTTGTTTTAAAACTTTTAGTTTTGTGCAAATGTCTATACGTGTACCTGTTTTATGAATGGGTGATTCCCAACTGCTCATATGTAATTTCCCATCCGACACTTTGAGCTCAAAACTGTCCAGATCATCTTGTCAAATGTTCGTGCTTTACCTCAAAGTGTTTCAAAGTCCTCGATGTAGTTTGACGTAGCTGCATGGTGTTTCGTAACAAGCTCAATATACTAATTGTGTCTCAGCAATTAAACTGCCTCATATACTGTGAGTAAACATTGCACTGCACAACTAATAATGTTGCTACTCGAGATCAGCAATTGACATAAAAAAGGGGGGGCACTTGAAACAGTGCTAATCTCTACCCATTTGTGCCAAGAAGTGTTCCTATTGTTTTTTTTTTTAATAAAGTATGTGTGGACCAATTGTGATGGTTTTAAAGTGAAACTAATTGTCTCATGATTTTGAATCCTGTTTCCTTCCATAAAATATTTTTGTTTGAATGTTGTGTTGTATTTATTCAAATTACACAGTTACAAAGGTAAAAACAATTACCTTTGTTCATAATGTGAGATAAAAGGATTAAAGGCACAAGGTGTAACAATTCAATAAGAGTGCATTTATTACACTAATAACATTATTGCGGAAAACAGTGATTTTGTACTAAGAAGTTAGTTGGATGATTGTAAGCATGGGCGTAATTTGAAGTGGGGGGTTTTGACCCCCCACAAGAATTTGATCCAGTCAATACAACCCCCCGAATAAAATAACATTTGCTCAATAACACAATAAATGTGACTGGTTAAGTACACAGCTGCAACTTTGTCATTAAGTAACTCTGACCTAATTTCTAAATTTACAATGCTGTGTGTACATTTAAACATAACTGCTGAAAATGACATGCGGGGCTTTAGTCTAGTCACATGGCTGTAGCTTTTGAATCATGTGTTGTAATCTTACCTAGCCAAATTGCAGTGCACCAGAGTGATTTTATTGTTTTATTGTTCATAGAGGGTCATGCGCCCCATCTTCTGACTTATTGGTTTGGATGTTTTGGCCAATAAGTCAGGTGATGAACAATAGAGCTAATCAAGCCTATTGTTAGGCGATGGCCCTCTTTTGCATGTGACTAAATAGAGTTAATCAAGCCTATTGTTAGGCGATGGCCCTCTTTTGCATGTGACTAACATGTTTGTCCATGTGGAGGCAGTGCTTATAAGGCTGAGTTCACCTGAAACTCATCAGACTGTTGGAGTCTCTTGGAGGAGAGAGGAAACGTTTCACTAAAGAAGAACCCATCCAGAGGACCTACATTTTTTTTGACTTACCAACATAATTCAATAAATAAACAGGCAGAGAGACCTAAAGTTACACCCTTGATTGTAAGCCTTAGCTTCTAAAAATGAAACAAATCACGTTTTATTTATACTTAAACTGATTTAAATGAGTTTTATTTCAGGTGCAAATTCTGATTTTTAAGTGAGTGTGTATTTTTGCACAAGGATCCTCTTGATTCAAAAACTGAAGCTTTTAAAGTTCACAGTCGTTCCAAACCTGAAACATAAAATGCATGAATCGGTCAGTCAGAGCAATCATTTCAGTACTAAAAAGGATTTATTTAATAAGCTGTTTTATTTACTTTGGTAGCAGCTCTGTGGACAATAGAGTGTCTGAGGGCCAGTTTGTCCAGGTCTTGGGAGTATCCTCCACCAATAACCGTAGCGACAGGAATACCTCTGCTCACTGCCGTTTTGATCACGTACAGATCTCTCTGGTAGAGCCCTAAGAGACATTTGCCAGCTTTATTTTCAAACTCGTACACTGGCGACGTTCAGCACGATCAGGTTCAAAGTGCTCCTGCGGCTGCTTTTCACACGTGAGGGTTTTCAGCTGGAGATGTGCTGTCACAGCTGGGGTTATCTACAGCATGTTTATGCTAAAGAGCCTGTGTTGGTATCACATGTATTTTATTGTGTCCACAATGTTACAAGTAATAAACCAAGAAACAGGTCAGCACATCCACCTGCAGCTGTTTTGACGACTGAAGTGCATGTGTGCAAACAGCTTTACTGATGTTTTGTGGGTAACAACGTAGGAAAAAAAAAACTCACCTTGATCTGTCAGACGGAGTCTCCCGAGTTCATCTTCCCAATGAGGATCAACACCAGCGTCATATAAAACCAAGTCTGGACGAAAAGTCTCCAGAAGCCTCGGGAGGTGTGCATTCACTGGTGATGACAGCAGCAAATAGCTGCATAATTAAAATCACTCTCAGCACAAAAGTCTGTATACAGTACACTTTTTAATCTGCTTTTAAGCCTCTAAAAACAACTAAAATATACATTTTCATAATTTCCAAAACATTACAAATGACTTGAAGCATATAGTACAAATGTACAACGGAGTATTAGGGCCACACAAAGAGAATTTTTTAAATTACGAGAATAAAGTCATAATATTACAACATTAAAGTCGTATAAAATTAAAGTCATAATGAGTATATAGGCATAATATTACATGATTAAAGTTGTAATATTATGAGTTTAAAGTCATAATATTACAAGAAAAAAGTCATAATATTGTAGCCTTTACATGAAAAAGCATGCAGTTACCACTGCTTTACTGAGGAATGTTGAGCAACTTGTCAAGTTGTTCTTTAGTATTGCTATAAATAAATAGTTTATCTTTTAGCACATTAGCATCAAATTATTAGTAGCAGGACTTGGATATTATGCAAACGACTATAAACTGAAGCCGTATTGTAATTAATGGATGCATTGACGGATTTAGTCGTAGCTAATTTGGATGAAAGCATATTAATCTAACCATACCTGAGTCATTGACTACTTTATAAACACAGACACATGGCTGTACACAGCAGGTGTGGGGAAAATAAGGAGGAAATGAGGAACGGGAAATAGACGCGTCATGATTATGACTTTTTTTCTCGTAATATTATGACTTTATTCTCATAAAATGATGACTTTAACCTCGTAATAATGATAAAAAAACATCTTGTTGTGTGGCCCTAATACTCTGTCGTACAAATGTTACATCTATTAGTTGCAATGATTATGATCTATGCCTGTGGCGAGGTACTCCTTGTCTTCTACCCCGTCCTCCACACTGACATCCAGGTCACTCTGTTGTTTGCGGAGGGGGAAATTTTTCCCACAATGCATCGAGAATGTAAACACATGTGGCTCTTCTTTAAATATAAAAGCAGTGCCGTCACCCTGTAGGACACAAAGAAAGTTACAGACGACAACAAAGAAAGGTTGGTATTGATACAAAATATAAGCAATCAGAACTCCACCTGATGCACGTCTAAATCCACAATTAGAACTTTCCGTTTGGTCGACCTCATCGAGCATTTGGCTGCGACTGCCAAGTCGTTGAGGAGACAAAACCCAGAGCCGTAGCCTGGGAACGCATGGTGGGTTCCTCCCGCTGTGCTGCAAGCCAGACCCCTCTGCAGAGCCACCTCCGCAGCCAGAACAGTCCCACCTGTTGGCAGACGACACAGACGTGCAGCGAGATGTTTGCAGGCCTTGCGGCTGCCAGATCGTATCTGCGCGGTGTTTGTCCCCCCCACCTGTTTCATATCGACAGCGTCGCACCAAGTCCTGGCTCCAGGGAAACCCAGTCCTCCTCTGTTCTTCCTCATGCACTGTCCCATTTAGCAGGGTTTTCAGGTACTCCTCAGAGTGCACACAGCTGAGCAAGTCTTTTGAGGCAATTTCAGGAGCCCAAACCTACTGTGAAGAAAATTCACATTTATGACAACCAGTCAAGTTTCAGAGCCATTTTTAGGGTGTGTTAAGTAACATTAAAAAGTGACTTTATGAACTGGTAAGGTAAAATTACTGCACTGACAGAAAAAGTGGCCAATAAAATATTTTAAGATAAACTAAATGTTATCTTTTTATCCTTGATTTCCTCACCTGTTTCTCTGTGATGACTTGGTCTTTAAGTAAAAAGTGTAAAACGCGGGGAAACTTGCCCATAGGAAACCGGTGGCTGGGTGGAAGCTCGCACACATACTTGTCGTGATGAATTATGGGAAGTCCGCTGGATTCGGGTCTTACCTGGAAATGTGAACAGGTGGGCTGTCAGGTTAGGTTAAACAGGAACACGTCTGCTCCGGTTCTGTGCCTTAGTAGTTTCTATTTATTAAAATAATAATTATGATAATAAAAAATAAAACAGGTTCTTACCAGCTCCGCGTGGAAACGCCTGCACGAGTTGAAAACTACTCCAACAAGCCGAGTGTGGGTGAAGATTTGCTTTATTCGGGTCATTCTTGAGCTGTCTGTCTCTTACATAAAGAGAGAGATGATTTAGCAGCAGCTGCTGCCCCCTGCTGTCACAGAGGACTAACTACACCCTGTTTGAATGACGTTGCATCTGTGAGTAGTGCAGATAACTATTGATATAATCGTAATAATAATAATAATAATAATAATAATAATAATAATAGTGCAATATATATCAATGCAGAAAATTGAACAGTTTCTTTAAATGCAAAAATATTTTTTTATTATTAAACAAAAAAGGCAAAAAAGAAATTGGATGTGTGTCGTTCTTTAAGTCAACATCAGTCAATTTGCTAAGTGTCTAACACATCACCTAATCAGACAGAAATTGAGCTAATTAGTAGGCTAGTAGCTGAATATCACTTTGAGGACTACACATAGCAGGATGTACATTTTTATAAATTAGACACTGAATCCAACTCTGAAGCCTGTTTGCACCTTGTTTATTAGCAAACCACCTGATGAACATCTATGAATTCTAATGAAAAAAATAAACCCTTCAAATTAATAACTGAATGGACAGCTGTAGCTGATTAATTGAGTCAACCTCTTTCAAGATGGCTACAACTATAATTTGACTGTAGCCAACACAATAAAGGCTATGATGTGACTGATGATTACATTCTATAGTACTTACCTTAAAAATAGTTTTATCATAATGGATTCAAGAGTCTATAGCTCTTTGTTTTTAATATCTGAACAGACTCTAATTATCATAAAGCTAGTATTAGAATATTTACATTTTATAACGTAAATTTTGAATACTTGCACAAGATTTTATGAGTCACTCAAAGCTGTTTGGTGTTGGTCTTTATTTTTCTGAAAGAGTTATCTGGTGTTGCTCTTTATTATTCTGTGAGCTGTGCTGCTCCCATTATATCAGGTCAGCCTGCATGCAGTCAAGATCAGATAAAACATACAGTTTTATTATTACTTGAATATGACCTTTTTAGCTTCTACATTTGAGCTCACTTTAAATTCCACCTCTTCTCTTTCCAGTGACATTCTGTATGCACACGGGCGTCTTTCCAATAAAAAAAAGGTCAAAGTGAGGTGGGCACTTCAATGCAAATGAGGTAAATTTAACATTCACAAAACCTTTTTCATTCTGCACCTTTTGAGTTTTTCCTCCTCTTTTGATTTGAGAAACGATGAAAGCGGACTCTCAGCTTTTAACCCATGACAAATTGCTCATCCTTCCCGGTGTATTGACATGTATGAGGGTAGTTGGGTTTCTTTGAATTCACTTCCTTTCCGATTTAGTTTTGTCTGGACTCTGACCGTCTCCGTGCATTCCTTCTGGGTGCTCCTTAGCAGCCATCGGGTGGACAATAATATTAAGTTAGCGTAGAAATACTTGGGGGCTTTCATCGTTGAATTAAAATGGTTTTTGATTTCTACTTTTCTATCTGTTTTTTTTCCCATCTGTCTGTTTTACATTGCTGGCAGGCAGCTCAAAGCAATGTCTGGTGAACTATTGGCTCGAAGGAGCTTCTATAAATTTTGTGTGTGTGCGTGCGTGTGTGTAAAAAGAGTCTGGTTGATGGGGATTATCCTACTCCCCCTTCCTCCTGGGAGAGGCAAGTGTACTCACAGTCAGATAAGAAAAAAAGATGAGCAAATTGGCCCCAGGTGCAGAGAAGAAATAATAGAGAAAGGAGATCAGGAGGCTAAAATCAATTACTGACTTTAGCACCGTTACCCAGCTTTTCAAGTAGAAAGAAGCGAAGGAGGAGACATTCTTCACTCTCTGAAAAGAGGTTTCCAATTTAATTTGACTGAAAGATTGTGCAGCTTTGTGCAAGTGTTAAAGGTTATGTTAATTCATTACCATATAGATTTTCCTCTTTGCCGCTTTAAAAAAAATGATTGTACCTCTGCAGGGATTCAGTCTGCTTTGACAAATCTCTGCTGCTGGTAATTGTTTCATAAATCACGCTTCAGTTTATTTTTCGGGAAATGAAAACTACTTGAGTTTGGAACCAACATCAACACCATTAAAATTAGAAATGTTTGAATGTAAAAAAGGGATCGGACTGTAAAAAGTCATCCCAGAAGCGACGATTAATCAAAACGTTTACAGCCAGATATTAACATTTAGTGAACATTAGATTGCATTTTGATTTCCCCCTGCTGTTAGGGGAAATGTATTTATGTCCATTTATCAAAATGTCTCATGAATCAATGAAGTTTAATAAAGATTTTAGTAAAGAAGCATCTTATGTACCTCTACAAATGAATCATTTTTTACCAATTCAAGATGGATGCCACAGCCAACTGGCAAAGAAATGACTAAAAGTCTGTCAGCTTTTTTCAAATGATGGGTTAAAATGTGGTGTGGTGGTGGCTGAGAGCCATCTACAACACATACTTTGTGTCTCACACATTGCACAAGATCTTTGTTTAAAACTCTCTGTCTGTTAGCAAAATATCCCATGAACTGCACGATGGATTTGAATAAGCCTTTCAGAAAATAACAATAGGATTCATAACTCTTTTGAAGTCAGTCCAATTCAGGATGACTGCCACAGCTAATCATCGTTAGCAAGCACAAAAATGTATGTACCTTCGATCTTTTTAATTTTTACTGCCAGAAATAGTCCTTTCTGAAACCCTTTATGCTACACATAACATATGACATAACACCTTCCATATACACATATGACATAACATGTGACTCAGCACATCACCTTACAAATCCCAATACATATACATCTTACATAGACAGAAATACTTATTTTTAACACTAATGGAACGCCATAGTTTTTGAAATATTGTTTAGTCGAGTGTAAAAATCTATTGTATTATATAGGCCTAATACACCACATGTTTGTTAGTGAATCTTTTGCTGCACACAGTTCGGCTTTGATGGGTGAGTTTGTCGCCTCGGAACAACCCTGTCATCCTGGCATGTATTTTCATGCTGCTGGAAGCCGCTTGTTGTCCCACAGCACTCGGCTGCTGGGCGGTGTAATGTTTGCATCACAGGCACTGGATGTGAACATACCTGTCAATTACACAACATCACAATCGCAACATCGAGCCCACAAACCCCCCTCTGTCCTCACCCTCCGCCTCACCACTCCGAGCGGAAGGAATTCGCTGCTTGATTGCGAGCGATGGCAGAGCGTGTTGCAGCAGGTGAGGGCAGGGGATGTTGTTGAGAGGGAATTAATCTGGAGCTGCCGTAGGTGTACGGCGGCGGCCCCACAGTCCCTCTGATTCACCTCTGATCCAATACTTTCCTTCTATAATCACAGACAAAACCGCGGAGAGGAGGCAGCTTTTGCACTACACTGTAATTTTCACTCGATGTTTACATCTCTCCGTTCATGATGGCTGGAAATTATATCTTCTCTTTATTCTCCGGTGTCCCTCATTGTTTCGGCATGTCCTCACAACTGATAAGTAGCTCTTGTTCGGCTGTCAAGTGTTGTCAAAGCAGGGATGTGTGAGCTGCCCTAATTAGTAGACATGCTATTATCAGTTATTTATTAAAGGGCTTTGTGTTGAGCTGTGAATGGCAGCACATTCAGAACTGACACTGAAACGTTTCAGCTTTAATGCTTCGTGTTGCTAATGCTAACAGGTGCAAAGTGGACAATAGCTCATCAACAACTATTACCTTTAAAGGGACAATATCATGTAAAATCAACTTTTTCGAGTTTTATATCATGTTATAATGTTACACTCTAAAAAAAAAACATGCCCAAAGCCTTGCTTTGACTCATTCATGCATGTTTGAGAAATCCTGCAGTGTTTTTAGGAAGCCATGCTGAGGAGCAAAACGACAGGTGGGGACCAGAAACGCCCCTGGTACGTGTCTTTTAGCCGAACTTCCTCATCACAGAGCACACCCCCCCCACCCCACACCCCACACACCCCGCCCATGACTCCTGCAGGCTCTCGGCAGTAACAAAGCAAAGTGAAAGTGAAACCTAACTGTCTGCTGAGCTCTCAACACTACTTCCCACTCAGTGAAGCTCTTTTCAGATTCAAAACACCTTTGAGGAAATGTATTTTCAGATGCCAAGTAAACTGCATCATAGCACACGCACAAGCACCCCCGTGCACGAGACCTCCGCGCGCACCCCCCCACCACCACCCACACTGAACGGGACAGGACAGAAGCAGAAGGAGGTTCTTAAAGAGACAGAGGCCAATTTCAAGGCATTTAGAAGAGGAAGTGATGAGAAAACAAGTTTATTTTCTATTTAAACATAAAAACAGCATTTTAATAACAATGAAAGGTGACATAGATACTTTATTATGGTATAGTATTTAAATGTATGCCTGAGAAACACATGGTATTGCCCCTTTAATATAATTGTCAAGAATTAATCAGTAAATTTACACCTACAACTGATGACCTTTTTGGAGTCAATCCCAGTTAAAATGGCTGCCACTTGAGTGATTTTAAAATACATAAAATTGCCTATAATGCAACCAGTTTAACTCATATTGAGTCAACATTTGTTGTTTGTAATAGCTGAGACTGATCCCCAACACCTCTTTTGTTATCATTAAATGTATGTCTATAGCTGATTACCATTTAGAGTCCATGCAATTTAAAATGATCATTCCAGCTAATTAATATTGCACAACACAAAAACGATTATAACTCAGTCTATGTTTGCAAACGTTAAACTACAAGCTGATTTGGTAGTAGCTGAGAGTTGCTCACAGCACATTCTGAGCATGGCTTCTCACAGTGTTGCACAAGATTATGAATATGGTCTGACCAAAACAGACAACTTTTTAAATAACTCAAACATGTTCCAAGTAAAGTGATTTACACATCCTGCTGCTTTTGATCTAATAATTAAATCTGAGTAAAAACAGGTCACACTAAGTTTTTATTATAAGGCTAATTTCTCAGTAGCATGTGGACCTGTTTTATCAGCAGATGCAATCCAGCTATTTATCAAAGCAAATTTGCTAAAAGGGATTGTTCTCTTTTCAAAGGACACTTTCAAATTTAAAAAATGTTTATTAAAAAGAAATTTTCT